CTTATAGAACGTTCCTTGGCCTATTCAGGTAAATCAATAACAGCCACAGAGAAAGGAAGCAAAATCCTTCTTTTGCTTGTTTATGTTCTGTATCCACAGTTCACCATTGCATTCAATAAACTGTATATCATCTTGAAACAGGTGGCTTTGTCTCCTAAATATCTGTGAATCTGAAGCCTTGGATGGACCAGGCCCCGGGGTAAAACATATGCATGACCTTCTGGAGATCCATCAGCAAACCATGGTGCATAGGTGTTTGGTTATTTTGCTTCTCCCACATTTTTTCTGGGAGTGGCTGCAGAGGAGACGTACAATACGAACAGATGCTACCAGTGATCACTTCTACCTTAAAAGGATTTCTGAGTGCACTGGACTCATGTTCCTGTTCCCCACTGCCTTCCACCACAAAAAAGGAAGATGGACAATTCATCTAGAGAATCATTATTTTAATATTTTCATTTACAATTATAAAAATAAATAAGCTAGGTCAGTCTGGTGCAGTGAATCCAATAAAGAAAATAGATTTAACTTAAATGATAAACTGACAGATGGTTGCGGGAGGCGTAGAGGCAGGAAGTGCATGCCGACGCTTGAAAGCCGCGGAAAAGCCCTTTGGGACTCTGGGACCTCTTTCAAGGGAAGGCCTTCTAAATCTAGACATCCACACCATTCATTTGTGGGGCAGCACAGCCTGTGCACCTAAAAGGCAATGACAAATCTGCACACAGACACAGTGTGACCGCATTTAGCTAGGGAGCAAGGGTTCTGGGACCTGGAGTACCAGGTGTACAGTCTTGCGGCTTGCGGGAGCAGGACGAGAGGGGTTTCTGGTTGCGCAACAGAAACCTACCCACACCGTTGTTTCCTCTGCTGCAGAAGAACACTGGGAATCCTAATGTGCAGAAGAGCATAAAACAGGCGGTTCTAGTGCGGGCAGAACTCCAGGTGCGTCCTGGGCCACGGCCTATTTCTCTGTTTCATGTATATCCCACTTTGATTCCACCATGGCGCTCAAGGGGGTAGTACAGGTGATTTTCCCAGTGGCCTCCTTGCCTTGCAGCTTCAAGTTTGGGCCATCATCATACCATGTCTCACCTGGATTTGCATCACGACCACAGAGTCAGTTGGTCCTTTGCTTTATTCTCTCTTGGATACATCACACAGGGGAATGAGGGAATCTTCCCCAGCGCTCGTGCAAGTGGGGCCGACCGGGGCTGGAACTGTGTGCAGGAATGGTGGTTGCTCTTTGCCATTTATCCTCACAACAACCCTCTGGGCCAGGGTGTCAGGCGGAATAAGCTAGTGACTGAACTCGTGTCAGCCGCAACAACGCCTCTCTTACCACTGTGCTGTGTGTGTGCATTTGCTGCTCCCACACAAAGTCTCAGGAACAACCAACCACTGGGCAATAGATGTGACATCTGACTCTGGCTGATGCACAAACCACAAAATGGATAAGAAGTGCCTAACCATTTTTTTTCTTATGTTAAGAATGTACGGCCCTTTCTGTTGCATAGCAAAACAGAAAAATCCACAAGTGAAATTCATAAAGCAGAGGTAAACATAGGCAATCTCATCACCATAAAGCCATCAGAAACCTAGGAGGAAAGGACCATTTTTTGCCTGGCACCAAAAGGGACAATGCCAGGTAAAGGTATCTAGGCTGAGGCGAATCAGTACAAAGAACTATCGAGTCCTTTGCCCTTAGTATTTTTAAAAATATGGGAGTCTGCCCTCCTGTATGTGGACACTCGAAAAGAAGGCAGGAGAAAACAGGCAATTATAGAATCCCAGATTAACTCCTAAGAGAGAGAAGGGAATTGTACCTTAATAGCACCAGGATGGCTGCTTGGCAGTGCAGAAGGTCCTGAGTTCAAATTCTGGAAACTTCAGGAATATCTGGGAAAGGTCCTCTCCAAAACATTGGAGAGAGAATGCCAGTCAGAGCACACAACACCGAACAAGACGGACAGTGGTCTCACCCAGCTTTCCCACAGTGACGCCTTCCAAACATTCTGGACCTCCATTGTGAAGCCAGTCTCATGACATGATCTGGGATTAAGGCAAGATTGAAAAGTGCGATCTACCACCATAGGTAGCAATTATTAAATCAAACAAGAAAATATAACAGAGGTGCAGTCTACTTCTCTGCAGAGGCTGAATCACCTGTCAAAGTTAGCCACAAATGTTAGACTATTTGGGACGTTCAGCTTTTCCAGTCGCATGCTTGAAAACCCACAAGTGAGGGATGACAGGAAGAAGGTAGTCAAGAAAACCTGGAGGTCCTCAAGTCAACAAGCATCCATCTCGAGGCAAATTAACGTGGCACCAGCACCATCTGCCTTGCCCCCCAAAAGGGGAGAGTGAAAGATGAGCAAGATGGCCCAGGAATGTTCAACCAGGTTCTCCCACAGGGGGTAGGAGAAGACAGCAGCTCTTAAGACATTGTCATGCGCACGGTGACTAGGACAGCTGGAGACAGATGGGGCGGGGGGGGGGCGGTGAGGCTCTGAGAGCATCCGCCACTTGTTTTGCGTGATGAGAATTGGATATGATCCCCTCCACCCTTCCTGCCCATTGGCTGCAATCTGTCTTTTTGAAGCCATCTGGGCAAGGAAAGAAAAGCAGAAATGACCCACAGTCAATCAGAAGCAGCTGAAATTTTTACCAGGGGAGAGGTGGCAAACCAAGCTTGATCAGTGAGGAGAAGAATCTGCAAAGCAATTGCCTTCTTGTGGCTTTGGAAGCGGAGCTGCCTCACTGAATAAGGTGGCAATCCCAGCTGCATTTACGCCATGGGTGACGAATAGCCTCGATGTGCACCAAGAAACAGTTGCTTGGAGTCAAGCTAACAAAGGGGCTGCTTGCCCTGCATACCGATGGGCGGGCAGGCATGCCTTGCCATAAGCACTGGCATGGGGTAGTGGGCAGAGGACCCCATGGCAGGGCGCACTGTTGGTCTACCCGCTTCAGGCCTGCAGACCCATTTGAGAGTCTGAGAATTCGCTATGGGCACCACCACTAAACGCAGCATCAGTTGTCACATTTATGGGTCTTAGGCTGTGTCTTTTCAACAAAAATGTCTGTTCTGTGCCTACTGAACACTCTGAAGTCTCTTTCAATGAGGGGTTGTCTAATCTGGCTAATTGGTGGTGGCGCAACGCAGCTAGTGCTTCTCTTCAACCTATGTTTTGGTAAGGTCCAACAGTTGTTTCCCATTTGGAGGAGGTTATAAGACATATAGATTTAGTATCGGAACAAAGAATGTAAGAAAAGCCCTGCCCTGCTGGATCAACCAAGGGTCCATCCAGTCCAGTATTCCATACACAGGGTGGCAAACCGCTGCCCGTAGGATCCCTCAAGCTGGGTGAGTGCAAGACCTCCCTCCTCCTACCCAGCTCTCAGCAACGGGGGCGTGCAGGTTTGCCACCTCTGGTGATGGAGGTAGCACATTGCCAGCAAGGCTAGTAGCCATGCGCTTTCAAATTAGTTGCTGCTCCACGGAAATTGACAAAGGGAAGGAAAAATGAATGCTCTCTCCTTTGGACTGCTCACAGACTGATACTACAACACGGGGTGGGTAAGACTCACCACCTAGGATGCAATGCACTGCCGGCCATGTTATGTTTCAGCACATGAATGGATGGCACATACATGTCACCTTCAGATGGATGCGTATTTGGAGATCTGGGTGCTTTTCCTGTAGCTTGTGTACCACCACTGGAAAGCTGTATCTACGTCATATGCATTTAGACACATCCATGTGTGTACATCCAAAAGGAACTGCTTTTGATTTTTGGAAGTCCTCACTGGTCTACTCTGACTGGCAGCAGCTCTCCAGAAACTCCCAGGAGGCCTCATCCTCTTTAATTGGAAGTGGTGGGGTCTGAACCTGGGACCTTCTGTATGCTCCATCACTGAGTTATGGCCCCTCCCTGTGAACTGGACCATGGCAACCTGGTTTCAAGTCACTGTGTGACTTTGGGACAGATGTTCTACTGGAGCAAATCACTGGCCCATCTAACCAGAACCATCTATTCCAACTGACAGTTGCTCTCCAGGACATTCCCATCACCTTCAACTTGGTTCTTCACGCTGGAGATGCTGAGCAATGAACTTGGGACCACTTCCACGCAAAGCACGACTAAGACATGCAAACACACCCCCAGCGTCCCTCAGAGGGCATCCTAACTCGAGCCAATCACCCCGCTCAGAGGCAATACCCACTTTCCCCCTTTTTTGTGGAATCCAAAATACAGAGCGACAGCTGGTGGAAAACTTGAGCCTGCTGCTTGCACGGATGTGCCCGAGTGATCAGGGAGAGCCTCTCTGTCATATTCCTATTGCGGCCATTCTGGATTCTTGCTCTTCTTTTACCATGACTATGCATAATGATTCTGGTACACAATACTCTCAGACTGCAAGGGTAACATACAATCTTGGGGCTGAACGTTGGGGAAAACCTTCTGCTAACCTCCCTCAAAAGAGCAGCCAGGAAGTGGACAATGCAAGCGAATGGTGAGGGGCTCTGGCTACCACTGGCCAGACATGCAGTGCATCAAAACAGTGGTTTACATATTCTTCACACTGGGATGGGAATAGAGAGCAACTTCCATAGTACAATATGAAAAAGCACAAAGATAATATACTCCAAGAATATGGATCATTTCTGCATCTGAAAAGGGCTGGGCCCCTAAGGTTCTGGGACAAAGCAAGGAATCATAAAGGTTTCCCCATGACATTGAAGTCCAGTCACGCCTGACTCTCGGGGGCGGTGCTCATCTCCGTTTCCTAGCCAAGGGAGCCAGCGTTTGTCCGCAGACAGTCTCCGTGGTCATGTGGCCAGCATGACTAAACACCGAGGTGCACGGAACGCTGTTACCTGCCCACCGAAGTGGCACCTTTTCATCTACTTGCATTTGCATGCTTTCGAACTGCAAGGTCGGCAGGAGCTGCGACAGAGCACGGGAGCTCACCCCATCTGCGGATTCGAACCGGTGACCTTTCAATCAACCAGCCCAGCGGCTCAGCGGTTTAACCCACTGCGCCACCCACAGTCCCCAAGGAAACATGGAGGCATTATTTTATCAAATGGCTTATGAGGGTACAGGCAGGGCTGCAGGGATGACATGTGGCTGTACATACACTGGAGGCTTCATGAGGGTTTCGGCAGGGCATCTTAGCCGCTGACGTTTTGTTTGGGAGGCTAAGAAGCACCACCCTATGCAATCTGTCCTCTGAATTCACAAGGATAATTACACCTTCAGGTCAACCTTAAGGCAACCAGCTATTATACAAAGAGAAAGAAATGTACATCGATTGCAATAAAAAGATGTCGTAGTGGCATACTGAATCCTGTGCCAAGTGCAGACACAATTAAACCAGAATAAGAAATTAATAAAGTAAGCCATGGCATGGGTCAATTCTTCAAAGGAGAGATACTGAGGCCATTAAAAAAGATGTGGTCCAACCATGGGGGTGGGGGGCGTTTCTTCTCCTCATCGACGGATGCGAAGAACGGGGGTGTCCATAGAACCAATTCTGAGATACTGCCCTCATTTGCTGGCAGCTCATCAGAGCAGTCTGGGGGTTGCTTCCAAGCTCCCAGGCTGTCCGCTCCTGACTCCACTCCCCTGCCGGGTCCGACTGCTGGACCGCTGGATTTGGAGCAGTGGCAAAAAATAGGTGGCCCCCTGCTGAATACGGGCAGCAAACGTCCTCACCTTGTTTTCAAGTCACACTTATCTTTTTCGCTTGTCTCTAGCAGGTTTTACTGAAGTTCACAACCAAGAGCCATTTTTTTCTGCCATAAACTTTGGGGGCAGGGGGTGGCAGGGGCCACGTGCAGCTTTCAAAGACCAGCCCAAATTTTGCTGCAAGCCAAAGTGGAGTAGGCAAATATCCCTGATGATCGCTCTGGCCATGTCCCAGGTTTTTCTCTGCTGGCTAATACTGTGCACTCATATTCCTGTGTGCACTTGAAGAAGGCTCTGAACCTGAAAGCATGTCATTCATCTTCGCTTCCCAAGCTAGACCCAGTTTCTGAGTGCAAAGCTGCCAATTCAAGCCCCAGAGTGCTTGCTAGAAGCGAGGACAGTGCATCTTCTGAAGGTCCCACAGGAGACTGCTCTGTAGGTTCCAGAGCAGTCTTCTCCAAGATACCAGTTCCCAACTGAAAGGCCTCTGCAGTAGCCAGGAGATCAGGGGCCGTATTTCATGGCTTGTGGCTTGCTGCCACTTCAAAACCAAGGTTAATTTCAATCAGCAACAGGAAGAAGACATCTGCTAAGGAGAACTTGAGCTGCTTTTTCAGTGGCAGAAGGTGTCCCAAGGGTTGAAACCAAGCAAGATGGACATGCAGACACTCAGATGTGGAAGACGGCCAGAATTTCCTCACTCAGTGTCTTGGCACACCGTTCTGGAAAATCAGAAGCTTGGAATTCAAAGAAAGAAACGTCGTCAGCCTTTAAATGGATTGTTTTGGCATGGCTGATGGGAACCAGAGGGTGGAGCCCATGCTGGCCTGTCCAGCAGGAAGAAATGACTGGGAAGCACAAGAAATATGTAGAACAGTGGAAAGTGGGTTTATGCCGCATGGAACTGGCTGGCATGGCATTCTCACTGCAGTCCTGGGTCCAGAGACAGGACACTGGATTTTCTCACTTTGGGAGGGGGCGGGGGAGGCTTGACTTCTCGCCTGCTGGGCAATGGAGGGGCGATCTGTAATGACACAAATAATGCACAGATATAGACAGTGAGATTGGCAAGGGAAAAATCCATCGCCAGTGCAGAGGCGGCATACATGGGAAAAGCACAAAGGAGCGCCTGACCAGCCCCTTGCTCCACCACATGAATGGGAAAAAGCAGGTCTCCACTATTCATGACAAATTGGCTTAGAGAAAGTCAGAGAATGAGGAAAATAATCAAACAGAGGCAGGATACAGCTTCCAGTTTCTTTGTTGATTTCTCTCCCCCATTTTCTTTCCTTCTCTTCCCCTTTTCTTTGATGAAAGACATTTTATATAAAAAAAGTCTTCTTGTTTGCTCTAACATAGCAAAAATGTGGAAGTCATTTTAAAGCAAGGAATGGTGCCAGGGCAAGTAAGGTAAAGGTAAGGTTTGCCCTTGACGTTATGTCCAGTCATGCCTGACTCTGGGGGCGGTGCTCATCTCCGTTTCCCGGCCGAGGGAGCCAGCGTTTGTCCGCAGACAGTCTCCGTGGTCATGTGGCCGGCATGACTAAACACCGAAGTGCACGGAACGCTGTTACCTGCCCACCGAAATGGCACCTTTTCATCTACTCGCATTTGCATGCTTTCGAACTGCAAGGTTGGCAGGAGCTGGGATGGAGCAACGGGAACTCACTCCGTTGTGCAGATTTGAACCGGTGACCTTTCAATCTACCAGCTCAGCAGCACAGCGGTTTAACCCACTGCGCCACCTGCAGTCCCACCAGGGCAAATACATAATGCAAATTAATGTATTTGTTTCACATCTGCCATTATGCATGATAAAGGGAACACTGTATAAGACCATTCAGCTGAAGGTTTAAATTGGCTGGCTGTACCACTGGTCTCAGCTTCAGCCCCCACATTTGCAATATGGATGTGTGCAAGATAATAAATACTGACCTACCTTGCTGTGTTGTTGTAAAGATTATAGGAAAATGTATGTGAAACATTTGAAAGAATGAAAAACACTCTGAGAATGCTAAGTGTATAGATGTTGTAGAGGAGACAACTTGACAATAGGCTGCTGTTTTCAGCAGCATCTCCACATCCTTTCCAACATCTGCTTTTTCTCAAAGAAGAAGAATTTGCCCAGGCACAAGAAGAAAATGTTACCCACTGTCATCCCACTTTTAAATAAAAACTTTCCCAAGCTGTAGCCTTTTCAGGAAATGAAGCAGTGAGCAAACCAATCGGACACCTTTCCAAGTACCGCCCAAAAGAGCCTCTGGGAAAATTTGCATGGATCCTTCTTTCTCGAGTTGTGGGATTCCCAGCCCTCCACCTCAAAATGTCACTTCCCATTTCCTTACCTCTGCGGAGTTCCTTGAGTTGGATTTGGGTGGAGGTGGGGGTGGAGTGTTTGGCAAGTTCATGGCTGCTAATCCATCTGTTTGCAAAGAAGGAAAGCCTAAAAGAGAGGCAGAGAGAAGACGACAGACAGATGGTTAAGGTTGAAAAAGGGAAGCGGGCAATGGACGAAAGACAGGGGCCGGGCCAGAAGCATCCGTGGGCCATCAGTACTTGCACACTCCTTTTTTAGCAAGTGATTGTGAACAGATGTGTCAATCTGGTGTCCCACTTGCAATTCCCCAGATCTGAATGTCTCAGAAGCGTCATCTGTGTGCAGCAAATGAAGTTAAGCACTTGTGAAAAATGCACACCTGGGACAACGGAAAAGGAAATCCAGAGTGACACCGTTACGGTCCATGGGGCTTTCCTTTCACATTGGACTTTATCCCTTGCGGTCTCCTGGACTCTAATGCCAAGTGATGGGATGATGAGACCATCTGAACTTCAGATGCGATCTGGGGAAGTCATCATGATATTAGGAGCAGCAGGTACATCGACCAAGTCTTCCATTTCCTTTATTTTCCCTACAGCTCAGTTATTTTCTAAATCGAATGTTCTATGCTCTTGCCAAAGTTTATACAAACGTGAATTTTCACAAGGAAATGCTGGTGCAACACATCCGAAACAAGCAGCATGTGCTAAGATGTGCTGTATTTGTTACTTCGGATTAAACTAGATACTCAAAAGTTTATTCATAACATACATAAAAACAGGTGAACAGATCTGAATTGTATCCAGATACTTAGACAAGGTTCTTTGGAAGGCTGTCAAAGTCAAAAGTGTTAATTGCTTCCATGCAGTCATTAGCCATCTTGATCCCCTTGCAGATCAATCCTATGGCTCCCTAGGGCACTCCCCTAGGCAGTGTCCAGGGGCCCACAGTATCCTTCAATTTCCCAGGTCCCCAGTCAGAAACACAGACCTGAGAGCTGGGAATCCATGCTTATTGCCCTCCTGCCACCCAGCATGGAAAGCACCGTGCCAGCTGTTCCTCCAAAACTGGAAAAGTGACCTCACAGAAGGTATAAAGGATATATTCTGGGGGCGGGGGGGAGGCAGGGGAAGAGGCCAGGAGATGAGCTATTCTGGGAGGGCTTCAACCTCCTTTCTTTCCCCTCTGAAATGCTGCAGTCCCCGCATTGCACAGCAGGGGGTGTGGCGAGGCAGAGATCACCTCCATGGCTCCTCCTGCTCTTCAGAGGATTCTTGCAATCCTTTGAGGCTGAGATTTGATGAGCATTCATGGTGCAATCAATTGGCACTCCGATGCAACTTTCAGCTCGTAAGGAGTCTGGAAACACCTGAGCTCAGAAGGAATGCTTTTGAGCAGCCATCCCCTATTTCGTGCGTTCCAGACACCCAGAATACCCAGGCAATAGCCCTCCGCATTGGGAATTCTGGGAGTTGCAGTCCAAATGCCTCTGAAGGCCACCAGGTTGGGGAAGGCTGCTTTTGAGCATGTCAGACGCCTAGTGTGAGATCAGTCCACTGTGGGGGCTTTAGACAACAGAAAGAACACAAGTGGGAGCCTCCGCCATTCTCCCAAGCACAGATGGATCTTGTCAACCTGCCCAAGCTTCGAGCTTCTGGATGACACCCGTTGGCCCTTTTCTTGAGATTATTCTTACTTTTCAGAATGATAGCATTGGAGAGGAGTTGTTAGATGGAATTCTCCTCTCTAACTAGCTTTGGAAAAATTGGCTTTTGTTGGGGAAAAGTCTGCATGATTTCAGAGGTGTGTTTGAATTCATAATAGGAAAACAAATGGAGTCTCAGGGCTTACTACGTTGGAGGAAATTGGTCTAAAGCAAGGGTAGGCAACTTCCAGGGATCCAGGGGTTATATCCTTTGGCACTCTTGCCTCCTTAGCCATGGGCAGAATTTGCTGTCAAAATCAGCAGTTCGGCCATGAAAATAAACCCATTTTTGCAACTCTGCTGCCAAATTTCTTTCCTAAAATGGTTCTTTTTAAGGAAATCATGTCCTGCCAATACAGTGTAAGATGGAACGGCAGAACCTACTTTGGGTTCTTGGCGTCTTGGGAGTGATCGGCGGTGGACTGAGAGGTGTGGCTTGCTGGAGTGATGAGCCCTGCAGCAGGGTGAGTTTGCTCTCCCCGAGTTGTAGACTTTTTGGCCTTGGTGCTTTTCCAGATGCATTCTGGGAGAACAGAAACAGAGGAAACAGAAGGTGATAAGGAAGCTCCTACATCATCAGAACCTACTTTAGCTCCTGTCAGAAAGGCTTCATGATGCTCTAGGAGTGCTCTGTGCAGAAGAAAATGTCTGCTGAGAGTAAATGTCTAGGCAACGGGCTGAGGAATGTCACACCCTATAAAAATGTAGAACGCTAAACAGATAATCACGCAAGCAAATATCATTCCGAGCCCCTGAACAAAACTGTCTAGAACATTCAAAAGCAAGCTGCTGTTGGATTGTAGCAAGATGGTAATCATGGGTAGGCTCATGTGGTGCTGAACAGAAATTAACAGAGAGCAATAATTACAGTAATAGCCACTTGCAGCTACAGGCTCAGAGGCCTTCGCAGTGGCCCACAGAAAGGCCCCCCTGAATGCCATCATCACATTTTCTGCGTCTTCATTCCTACCCAGCATCCAACCACTGGGTCAGCATCATGCATTGCTAACGGAAAAATAGAAGCTCCTGAAGGGGACTCTAATTGCTGTAATGCATTTATTACCATTTTGCAGGTCTGCTCTGCCTCTGGCTCCTTCTCTGCAATGACCTGAGATTTGCTGAGGCTCCAGTCCTTCCGCCTAAATTTATTCAGCCGGTTCTCGCCATCATCTTTGCCAGGCGGTTCTTCCATCCTGGAGGAAGCCGAACACCTCCTTTCCACCAGGGGCTCAAGAATCGATCTGCAGTCCATATAGGAAGACAGCCACAGAAAGATTATATCCTGCCCTCTCTTGGCATCACCATCACAACAACTGGAGATGTGTAGCAGCGTGACAGTTGCCATTCTCAGACCCTGGGAAAGACCAGTGTGGGAAGGGAAGGCTGAAAGATGTATTCCAAGATGGCAGGCCAAATTCCATTTCAGGGAAGCTCTTGGGGTGGGGTGGAGTGTGCATTTTCCAGTGGTGTTGAACTGAAGGAGAAAAGGGAGCTGGGACAAGACAACACATACTTTAGATTCAAATACTTACTGCCAGTAAGCAGGCCTTAGAAAAGGCATTTTGACTTTGTAGAATGGGAAAAAAACCCTTGCACACAAGCTGAGAAACCATAGCATGATCAATGGGTAGAGGAAAAGGTGTGGTCATCTGAGGAACTCCAAAAAGTCAGACTGGGACTCAGGGCTAGACCAGTTTCAGTCCAGGGTCTGAACTTCTGTGCCCCTTTTTCAATTTTTTATCCATGACATGGTGCATCATCTACGAATTCCCACAGTGATCATTCCCGTGTGAGAAACCAACTACACCTGGATGTTCTCTCTGCTTTTGCAGTCCTAGCCTTCCTTTTACCTTTTGTCCTGATACTCACAATAGTGACAGGAGACAAATTGGTATTCTCATAATTTTTCTTTTTAAATCACAGATAACTTCACTGCTCACCCATCAGATCCTGGCCTGGAGGAAGTGCTGTCTGAGGAGGTAGAAGATGTTGATCCCACGGAGGAAGTCACTGATGTCACAGAGAGCCTTCTCAAAGTGGAAGACATGATGTATGGCAAAACCACGGATCCAGACCTGCTCTGCTTTCTCTCCGTCAGTGAAGAAGGCTGTGTGATTGGATTAGAAGAAAGCCAAAGATTCAAAGAAGAATGGTTTGCAAGGAAAGAAAATGGAAAGGCATCTTGGTTAGATATGGGGGCTCTTCTGCCCCCAGGCAGCAAGTACTGGTGCTTGCTTTTCATCTTTTTGTGGTGGTCCTTTGGAACACTGTCAGCCCTGGACTCAATGGTCTGATCAGCCAACATGGCCCTCCCTGCCTACAGTCCTATTTTCAAAACCACAGGCCAGTTGCCCAGCCCACGAGCAGTAATTAACATTGTCTAGCAGAAGGCCTTTGAACCATCCTAAAATATGCCTGTTTTTTTTTTTACCACTGAGGGAAAGAATCAGCAGCCCATCATGGATCGCTAAAGAAAGATGTTAATCAGGGATCGCAATAAGATGGATGAAATGTTTACCAGAGTTATTACACCATAGAGCTTCTCTACTTTCTCTCTCAGCTCTTTGAAGCAGGAGGTCAGCCTCTCATGGAGAGGTTTCAACTGCTCCGTCAGCTTTTTCCCATGGATCCGAAGCCCTTCGGCCAGCAAAGGCATCTGAAAAAGCACACAAAACGGGGTTGATGAGAAAGCTCAGGGGAAAAGACCAAGCTGAGTTGCCCAAGCCTGACACATTGGGAAAGTGGATCTTCTTTTCTACTCTGCCCCTAGTGGCTGATGATATTACTGCAGGTGATTTAAATACTCTACATTTTAAAACAAACTGTGAGGTGCATACCCCTAGGTTCCATTTAGCATGCATGCTGAGTATCAGTGTTGACTGATGGAAGGGACAGACAGTCAGACGTTCTCTTTGCCCACTATAGATCCTATCTACAGTCTGCCTTCATCGCATTTAATACTCCCCAATAGCTGAGGTTCTCTGGGTAGTTAACAAAAGTTAAAATTAAGCAAACATTGAACTTAAAAGAAGAAAACCGTAATAGCACTGCAATTGCTATGATTCAGCATAGAAACACAGCAGAAGCACAGAATAAAATGGGATATATAAAAACAGAATCAAAAAGTTCTACTGTGAAAATGCTGGGAAAATAAAAGGGCATCACCTTGTACTGAAAAGACCACAAAGCAGGTGACGGGAGCAACTCTTGGAGCAGCTCATTACAAAACTTGAGGTGCCACAACCAGAAAGTCCCTCCTGGTAGTTACTGTCTTACTTCCTTTGAAAGATTCTTGTTGTTGTTAGTCACAAAGTCATGTCCGACCCGTTGCAAACCCATGGACAAATTTCTCCAGGCCTTCCTGTCCTCCACCATTCCCTGGAGTCCACCTAAGCTCACACCAACTGGTTCAGTGACTCCATCTAGCCACCTCATCCTCTGCCGTCCCCTCCTTCTTTTGCCATCTATTGTTCCCAGCATTAGGCTCTTCTCCAGGGAGTCCTTCCTTCTCATTAGGTGGCCAAAGTATTTGCGTTTCATCTTCAGGATCTGGCCTTCTAAAGAGCAGCCAGGGTTGATCTCCTCTAGGACTGACTGGTTTGATCACCTTGCGGTCCAAGGGACTTGCAGGAGTCTCCTCCAGCACCACAATTCAAAGGCCTCAATTCTTCAGCGCTCAGCCTTCCTTATGGTCCAGCTTTCACAGCCATACATTGCAACTGGGAAAACCATAGCCTTGACTATACACACTTTTGTTGGCAGGGTGATGTCTCTGCTTTTTAGTAAGATTCTGGTGGACACCCAAAGATGAGCTTAGGGTCTGGGTACATATGGAAGGAGGCAATCCTTCAGATAACCTCAACCCAAGCCATTTAGGGCTTTGAAAGTTAGTGCTAGCACATTGAATCTGACTCGGATGTCAACCCACAGCCGTTGGAAGAGGAGCGGTGTGATGTGTTCTTGTGAGTCAGTCCACATTAACTTTGTATGGCCAGGCAAACATAATGCTTACATAAGCTCATAACCTCCCAAAAGGCATGACTGGGTTGCAAATGAAAATATTATTATTGAAAGCAAAGGACATACTTGTAAAGCAATTAGCTGCTTGAGCAGTTCAATCTTTTCTTGATCTTCAGGGTGTTCTTGATTATACTTTTCAGTGAAGAAAGCCTGAAAGGAAAGGCAAAAATAGGGAGCTATTAAAGATGCAAGTCTGAACGTCCTCTTAGGTTTTTGAGGCATCTTAGAAAGCTACTGCACCCTTCCCACATCCCCAGCCATCGTGGAGCAAATTGACTGAGGATGATGGGAGTTGCCATCTGAAGCATCTGGAGCAGATGAGGTTGGGGATAGAAAAGCTATCAATCATACCAAAACAGAACAAGTAAATCTTGTCATGTCATAACAGCAAGCCAAGAGATTCACCCCCCTCCCCGCAGTGGGAACGGAATGTGTTCCAGATCTTCAGATGCAGGATACTAAATCACAGCTTTCCTTCAACAAGGGGATTCTGCATTTCTGGAATTTTTGACCTCTGTCAAACAATCACAAACAAGGTCGTGTTTTCTTTCTTGGCGATGCCGATGCGGACAGACTGGATTCGCACAATCCTTTAGGACTGCATGATCATTTTTGCCATCTGCTCATCACAGAGACCCGTGCAAGTCTGATTCAAGCTCGAAACAGGAAGGAGGGGAAGCATCAAACAGGGTGGCTGCATCTCAGTTTTCAAAAAATGTACCTGGTGTGTTTCCAGCAGTGGTCTTTTTCAGGAGCAGCAAAAAGATAGAGCACTGCCTTACTTCAGTCTTACCCAACCTGGTATTCTCCCAAGTTTTGCATCCCAGCTCCCATCATCCCCAGCCAGCAAAGGCAATAGTCAGGAATGCTGGAGGTTGTAGTCGAAAACAGATAAATATCTTATTTTGCGCTCTCTGCCTTTACTTCTTTCTGATCCACCTTGAGATGACTTGTTTGGGTGGCTTTAAACGATAACCAAAAAATGACCTCAACATGATAAGCCAGAGGTGCTTACTCAGAGGAGCTTTTTCTGACAGAAACTGAACTGGCTTGAATACGGAGCATGTGCTATGTGGTCAAGCCATGGACATGGGCGGGATCCATGTTGACACACACAGCAAACCTGAGTCATCCCAAGTTTTAACCAGCTTTTTCTCACATGCCTTCTTCCAAGCAGCCATCCCTCCTTCTTACGAACAGCCAACTGAAGGCCAGAACTTTGTTATCTGCAAAAGAATGGCTTCCTCGTGGGGTTTCCGTGAACATAATATGGGGAATCCACAAACATTTACACCTCCTTGAGTTTTTGGGAAAGCTGCAGGATACATCTAGGAAACGAAGAACTAAATGCAGTGCCAATGCATTCCACTTGTGTACCACCTTTCTGAACCCAACAAAGGCAACTGATGAAATAAAGCATAGCAAAATATTAGCACCAGCTTTAAAAATCACGAGGACAATTTTTAAAGCTGGGTTAAAAAGATGTTGCTGCCCTAGCCTAAACCTGTAAAAAGCCTTTGCTAAATTGCATGGCAGTTTAGCCCAGAACTCTCTTTCCACCTCAGGGCTACCTGCGGACTCAGAACAACTCTCAGGGGCCAGCAGGGACAAAGACAGAGGGAGTCCCAGTCATTCCCTCTCCGCCACGCTGGATTGAAGTCTTACTGCCAGAAATCCAGCCTTAGGAAAAGCTTGCAATTTTTCAGAGCGGCAAAAACAAAACTAAACTAAACTAAACTAAACTAAACTAAACTGTGCAAACATCTGAGAAACCACTTGTTTCAGATAAACACAGAAACAGAGCCAGTCAGAAGGTGCCTCCTGGGCCATCTAGTCTGACCTCTGGCTCCAGCTGGCTTTGCTCACGACATGCCCACCATGTGCATGTCTAGCCTATCCTTGAACACCCTCACCAATGGGGCCTCAACCACTTCCCATGGAAGCCCCATTCCATACCCTCGGAGTCCTAACTGTCAGAAAGTACTTCCTGGCATCCAAATTGAACCTTGGTTCCCTGAGCTTTGCTCTGTTGCAGCACGTCCTGCCTTCCTCTGCAGGGGAGAACAGGTCTCTACCCACCTCCGTGTGACACCCCGTCACATACCTGTATGTCGCCAACAGATCCCCTCTGAGTCTCTTCTTCTCCAGGCTGAAGAGACCCAGTTCCCTCAGTCTCACCTCATATGGCTTTCCCTGCAAACCGGCCACCAACCCTGTGGCCCTACGCTGCACTGACTCTAATCTGGCTATATTCTTCCTATAACGAGGGGCCCAAAACTGAACACAATACTCCAGTTGCAGGTGCACCAGAGGAAAAGGCATAGCTGTCTAGGAAAATCTGGCTTGGGACCACAAGTTAACCTGTGAACCTGAGGTTCAGGACTCCTGTTTTAGCAGGACCAAGGAACGGAAGATGAAATGCAGCATTAGAAAGACGAGTGGGGCAGGATGCCAATGACTTGCCATGACTGGGTGCAGAAAACACATACTTGAGGAATGAGTATGGGTTGTTGGGAAATGCATGATCATTTTGTCTGAACCGGCAAGCCATGGATTCTTAACCACAAACAACCCATGGAGAGAACCCATGGCTTGCTGTTGGATTGTGAATGATGGGTTGTTCACTATGGTTTGTTATGTAACCCATGTTTCAACAACATCCAACACTCAACCTTTTAGTGTGGATTATCATGTCTAAATCCTGACAATAAAGACCACTGGACAATATAATCTAGTTTCATCCCATTCTGGAAGAAAGCTGAGAAGAGACTCAAGTTGCCTCTTGGTTAGAAACTGAGTGTAAATGGTAAGGAGAAGCAGGTTTAAGTTTCTATCTGAAGTGCATCCTATTCAATTTCTTCCTTGAAAGAAAATGCCTGCCCGTCTGTCTCCAGTGGAAAAGCAACATTCTAACAATTGTGGCAAGAACAAAACTGATGGGATCCCACAGACGGCAAGTAGGAGCCATGATAGCGCACTGTCCCTCTGTAGACACACTCACAGGAAAGCAAAGCAAAGATCTGCACAGGGCTTTGATGCACCCAACACAAAAGAGAGACTTAGATTATGGTGATTATGGTATCCCACAAACCCAAATTCCCTGACTCGGGAATAGGAAAATGTGAGCAAAGGACGTGATGACTTCCAGATGTGGCCGGAGCATTTTACAGCCTTCATGGTTTTTCCACTTCTGCACATAAACTAGAGCAGTGGCAGCTCAAAACACAGCCTGATTGAAAAAGCCACCCCCTGCTTTTAAGCATTTGCCAGCTGATTGGATCAGGCAGCCTTCCGGTTCCCGGACGTTCATACTGTGCCGAAGTGACTGCTCGAAGCTAGAAATCATTTTTATTGCAATATAATCACTCAGAATATACTAAATCTTCCACATTCTTTGAAGAAACAGCTTCGCTACAACTCTGAGGTTTCTGTTGTCAGGCTGTGCATGCTGCAAGCCTAAGAAAAACCAAAACTGAAAATCTACCAGGTCATACAACACCAGAACCCTACCCAATCCCATTTGGCTCTGGCTAGTTTGCCATGTTGGTTTGGAGCTTTAAAGCCCTAAAGCAGCCTCTTCCAACTTGCTGCTCTCTGGATATGTTGGGCAACAAATCCCATCAGCTGAGCTGGCACAGCTGAGGGCTATGATGGCTGGGGCTGATGGGAGTTGAAGCCCTACTGATTTATAGGGAACCAGTTGAGGGAAGGGTGTTTGTCCTAATCTGTTTCCTGCACAGCTATCTGAAGGACAGGATAATGGGCAATGGAGCATCCGCTTCTATTAGAGTCTCTCCTTGATTAATGCGAGTTTCCCTCTGAAACTCACAAATTTGCAAACACTCACAAATCTCCATAGGGAAGTTCCCAGTCTCTGTGTAAACTATTCAGCTCTCAGGAAAGGCAAACATAAATGAACAACAGTATGATACTGCTAACAGTTTATTATATTAGCTGCCGGACTGGGGGGAAAGCGTGTATTTGTCATTAAATGTGGATTGCATTTCATTACCATCCCTTGCTTGTTTGATATACTTATGACTTTTGCATTTATGAATTGACTCGATGCTAAAGTTCTGGAATAAATGTTTGTTCATAGGCTCACTGTAGCATTTTTGTGGTGAGATAATTTTCCATATGTTGTCCTTGGGTTTACTGTTTGATACTTTTGTGTTCGTTTTGTAAGAGGTGGAGGAAGGAGAGATCCGCTCATTTGGTCTGCCCTTTCAAGAGAAAATAAGGAAAATATCTCTGGCAAGGAATGGGTTACATGCCTAGGCACCCATCTGGACACTTTGCAGGTTCACAAACCCCTCCAAAGTTCTGCTCTTATTTTCGTAGGGATGGTATCACTTGCCAAAGTGAGAGACAAATTAAAGCAGCAAATCAAGCTGAAAAGAAAGTTTCTATAATGGTCCATATTTACAAGGAAACCTTGTATAATTCTTGTTGGGAGAGCTACTATTGCTGGGACTTTGATTGGAGATATTTATTTTTAATTGGTTAACAAAGGGAAAATAGAACATGCTACAACTAAACAAACACATCACTAAAAGCCAAGATTCCTCACTGGGACCTGCAGCTTATTGTAGGGAACTGTTGCAGAAGTGACTCTAAGTTTGTCCGATAAACTTTTGGAGACACATTTGTCTCTGGTGCAACATCAACCTCACACGTAGGATAATATTACTCCCTAAATTCCAACACAGCAACTGGGTTAGAGATCTAAAGGAGTACAGCAATCTTAGCATTAACTGCCAAAGTGTTGAGCACTTTTGATTGTATAGATAATCTTAAAAGACAATGGACAGCATCTGATGAAATTAAAAATGTAGAAATTAAAGGGGCTGAGGCAGGGTAGTTGAACCAGATTCCTTCTCATCCTTTTTTTCTTGCAGTCCACCTAGGAGGAAACACTAAACCCTCATTTTCCTCCAGTTCCTCTTTGTTTTTGCCAAAAACTCCAAAACATACAACATTCTGAAATTAGACCCCATTAAAATCATTGCTGTAAAATGAACAAGGTCTTTTGCTCCCCAAAGGGTACCTGCCATCCTGCTAGAGAAAAGCAACGGCTGACTCAGTGGAAACCACATCCTTTGAGCTCCTCCTGTTTCCTGGCATGGCCCACATCTCCTGCTATTGATTCACCCTGATGCGGGTGCAGAGCGCAAACTTATATTCCTTGCTAGCTTGCCCCGTTAGGTCAGTCCACAAGATTGTGGTGCATCGTTTCAGTGGTGCTGCACATTACACATGCTGGGGAGACTGCTGACCTTCTCATAATTGGTGTATCCACCCATGACGGCTGGGTCCACAATGCCATTCAGCAGCATCGAGAGGGGGTGCACAGGAAGGGCTCGATCCCAGGCATGCTGCTGCACACAGTTGCTGATCTTCTCATTCGTCAGCTCCATGGTTTCAATGGCGTTCTCCAAGGGGCTGATTTCCTCCTGAGAAGGGCAAAGGGAAGAGAGGTGAAGGGACGGGCATAAAGCAACCTCTTTTTGGTGCTGGGCAATGACATTTTCAGTCTACATCCGGCTTTGCAGATTCACATCACACACTGTGATGTGGGTTTTCCAGAGGACAAGCAGCCCGCCCTGTGCTGCACTACAACATGGCCACAGGAACTGGGGACCAAAAACAAAAAAGAAGTAGCCAGCAATAAGAAAATTGAAACGCGGCCCCTTCGGAAGCTCACCACGGATATTTGCTTGACTTCAAACCATTTCAGGGTCCCAGGGAACATATAGGCGGTTGTATAGGTGGTTCGCTCTATCCACATCGTCTGGGAAGAGAAGCCAAAGTGCAGAGAGTAAGGCAGTTGTGATCGCTGTCGAGGTGGAGCTCCACCGTGGCCTCTCCTCAGCTTGTAGACCAGGCAAAGACCCAAGAAGCCAAGCCACGAGGATCTGTTTAGCACAAGAGTCTACCTAAAATATCACCTCATTGCCTTTACTGAGGGTCACAAACTGTGGTAGGATCAGGGTCACACACTTAGAGGAAATCCACTCAGAACTAAAGGACTTACGTCGGTCATGAACCTCTTGTCCCATTGGCTTCAACAGGTCTCCTAAAGGCCTATACGTTTAACATGAGTGTGACAGCAGGGAAAAAGGCAGGTTGCTTACCTGCGATTGTCGGTCTTCAAGTGGTCATCTGCGCATTCACACATGCGGGCTTTGCGCCTGCAGAGAACCTAATGTCGGGGGGTTTCTATAGCTAGGCGCTCGCTGGGTTGGGAGCTCCTCACTCCCTTATTCCCAGACAGTGTGGGGAGAGGTTTCTGCCCATCCCCGCAGTTCATATGGAGACCACCATGGATCTCTGGACCGAGGAAAGACCACTGCCCAGTCCTGCCCCCAGTGAATGAGGGGGCACCCACTGCCGGTACGACAGCAAGGCGCCAAGTCCGTCTGTGTGAGGCAGAGACCACCAAGATGAATCCTTCTCCTCTTGGTCCAATTCAGACGCAGCCCTGCTTTGAGGAGACTACTGAAATCAACGGGGCGAGTTCGTCATGACAAACGGAAGCCCCTGTGATCTCGATGGGTCACCTCAAAGGTGACCCGGTGTGGATCCCCCCACCCCCTGCTCCTGTCATGTTTAGCACCAGGGCGACTGCACTGCAGAAGTCAAGAAACTCAGAAAGGAGAGCCAGGTGAGAGGAGAGAAGCCTTTGCTTGAAAGAGAAAGGACTCACTGCAAATTCATTCTCAAGGTCTTTTTCTCCTTTCCTGAATGGCCGGGAGTATTGGAATTGCTGGACTTCATTGGATCGATAGAAGCTGAAGAAGCAGGAAACAGTCGCATCAGACCACGCTCTGTATTTTCAGCCACCGGCTGCTGGCAAGGTCAGAGTCCAACAACAAAGCATTCCTTCCTCATGCTGTGATGGACTAACCCCTAGCCAGCCAAATTCCTGGTGCTGGTTTTGGCCTCTAGGGCCCTAAATGGTTTGGGACCACTTCATCCGTAGGACTAACTTACACCTGCCTAACCTGGCAAGCATTAGCATTTGTTTAATACATTTCTATAACACCACAGTGTCCCATAGGTCTTTCTGGGCAGTTTACAATTACAATAAATTAAAATAATTTAAAAGAATAAAACATCATAAAAAACCCAATACAATGAGTGAGGTGACAACAGCCTAAAACTAACTCTAGCACTGAGGAGAACTTAACAATACAGTGAATATGATCAGTGTAAAAGATTCTGTCCTCTGACCAGCATCGAGTGCCATTCGGTGGACTCGGGGCCTTTTCAGCGCTGGCCCTAAATCTCTGGAACTCCATCTCTAGGGAGAGGTAGATGCAGGACTCATCTCTGCTGACTTTTGAAAAAGAACTGGACACATTTATTCCAGTCTGCATTTGGTGTGCAAAATGCATTAGGTGCTTTGAGAGTGTGTTCAATTTAATTTACATTTGCATATTTTTGAATTTAAAAAGTCACCATTGGAGGGCAGTAAACCAGAAAGGCATGTCTCCCCATACTCCCATAAACCAATCAATGCCCCAGTGGAGAACTTTTTCTCAAATCCAGTGCCAAGGAAGCACCCCTGACGGCAGTGAAATCATCCCAGAGCCCCAGACAAGCACTGGAGCCCGTGGCCGTGTGCTGGTTTCCTAGATGCAAAAGAGAGTTGCTTTGCATACAGAACGAGTGTGTGGGAAACGGTTACTTTAAAATCTGCTCTGGAACCGGCTTGTCTTTGAAGTTTGCTGGGAGGTTCATTACAGGTTTAACTGTGAAGCACTGAACAACTGATTGGCATGCATTAAGGAAAAGAAAGCAAGAGATGCTTAAGGGAAAGATCATAACATTGGCTCAAGTCTCTGAATTCCTGAATTTACATAAATCAGGAAGGCAATACTATGATCCTTTCTCCTTGCTACAGAAGGCGGGGAACGTTTGAGTCACCTACCACTATTGTTAATACTTAACAGACCATTTCATAGAATGAAATCCCTGAGCAGAGTTGGTGAACTTTACGTGTATGGAGCAGAGTTGGTGAACTTCCTTCCAATTGAGGCCACATTCCAGGGGCTGGCAGGGCTAAAAGTAAAAGTGGTGTAGCCAAAATACCAACCCATTTGGGCTTAAAGGAAGCCAGCCAGCTAGCCAGCCTTAGAAGGCATTTCGAGCTCTTAAAATGGGGGAGGGAAAACGCCCAATGATAACCTTGCCCCCTTCACCCCAAAAAAGATACACTGCTTAAGGGAAGATCTGATCTCTTCTGTTGGTGGGGCTGTGCTGCTCAACTTCTCGGCATTTGGAAACTGGGTCAGTAATTTCAGGTTGAAATCCTCCCGCCTCTCATATTCCTTGCCCCGGTAAATGAAGATCTTGTTCTGAAACAAAAATCCACCAGAAATCAGAAATGAATGGCCATCTGCCAAGTTCTGAGCATTTTGATCAGGACATAATCACAACGCTAAACTGAGGAATGGGTTGCCCTGGTGCTCCACCAAAACACGAAGCACGAAAATAAACAAGTCAAGATGCATCAGTGTTGGAAAAGGTGTCAGTTTTCAGGATCTACAATACTAACTTCCATAGGGTGCTGGCTGTTCCAAATGTCTGAATTTTATATGGGTGAAAAAAAGGGTCGGGGGGGGGGGCAGAAAAAATGCTCTTAATTCAAATTGTCTAAAATTCTACTCTATCTTTGCTTAGTTTGAGTCCTTCCTTCAACACCCCCCACCAGCCAAACTATTCTCCAAATGTTGCGATGGGACTTCTCCATCCTCTCCTACCGCCCTTGAGCGCCCTTGAAATCTGTTCCAAAGGGTTGCCTGGCCCTTCCAAAAATGTTTGGTGATATAACAGGCCTTCATAACAAAGAAGAAGGAAGATTTTGAAAAAGAAATCACGGAGGAAGAACAATGCATCAGCCCTGGAGGCCTTCCAATACTTAGAAACAGAGAGCTCTTAGTATCATCTGAAAGAAGTTAAGGGCACTTCATGAAGAGAAATCTTTGTTAAAACAACCATATCGCAAACCTCACTTTGCCTCCATGCATTTTGATTCTGTTTGGCTTTTACAGCTGTATTTTTGATCCTCCTTTTATTTTCATTTATTATATTTATATCCTCTTGCAAGGACCTCAAGGCCATTTATCCAATTCTCTCAACAACCTTGCAAGGCAGGTTAGGCTGAAAGTCAAGGACTGGCCCAAAGTCACCCGGTGAGATTCATGGCCAATCTCCTAGTTGGATATTGTAACCACTACACCACCCCACCACCCTCTGCTGTTGCTTTTCCTGAACTCCACTCCCTAAATAAGGAAGGAGGCTAATCATAATCACAGATTGTCAGCACTGATAGAGATTGTTAGCACTGATCCTAGGATTATGAAAAGGCTGCTATCAGGACCCGCTCAGCATCCTTACCCGGAGAAAGGCGGGAAATCCAAGGCCAAAATAGCCCACAGCAAAATATTCTGGCTGAGGCCGCATCGCTTTCATGATGTTCTCATAGAACGTGGCCCGTTTTTTCTGTGTGTGCACATTAAAAAGAAGAAAGGAGTGGGGAACACACAAATACACACACACGCATACACATTTACCTTGACCAGACAGAAGAGAAAGCATTTCATTGAATGGCCTTAAAATGCTTCACACTGCTCTGGTTAAGAGACCTCATCAAAGGCCTAATAGGATATCACCTGAGTCCAACCGCTACATCTTCCTTGCCCCAGTTTTACACAAGAATAGGTGCGGGGGGCCCAGTCCAGATCTTAACCACCCCCATCTCTATGCTGGTTCATGTTCCAGATTGCACCCCTGTGCCTATTCCAGAGTAAAAATGGAATAAGAAGCATACCTGGATCATAGCTCCTCAGTTATGATTTAGTAGAGAGTAAATTACAGCAAGCGTTGGCCATGAGGAAGCTCTCGTACTGCTTTAGACTAACCCAGCTTGCTGTTGTCCAAACCAGACAAACTGTGGTTAAATCTTAACTATGGTTAAGTTCTAGTTTTGAAAAATCTAACTTCAAACCATGGGCTACAAAGATGGCTTTTTTATACGAACTGAAACTAACCTTAGCCACTCTTTTGAATGACACAGCAGCAGTGAAATGAAACTTGGAAGTGAAAACTTTTGGGTGCTTCCCAGAAAATAGGAGAGGAAGGAGACTATGAGGCTGGGGCACCCACCGGCCCATTCTTGCCACGCTAAGCTATGCGTTAGTAGGATGTCTGAATGAGCCAGTGAGAGAGACCCACGAGGCTGCCTGTCTTAAGGGGAACATTAGAGACCTTTCTCTGTATGGTGGGATCGCAGCTCTGAAACGTTCCCCACAGTCCAATGAATTTAGCTGCCAGATCGACATAACGTGCTCAACCAGGCCCTTAAGGATTATGGAATACATGACACTGCTTTTAGTTTCAACCATTCTTTTGATTGATTATCCTTTTATAGAACGACACTCCGGTCACACTACAAAACTAACAAACCAACAGGACAAAGTCTCAGAGCTTGAGTTGCTGGGATAGATGCTTCACAATGATATTTTGCTGCTGCATATTTGCCTTTCAATGTCCCCTTGTAAGTTCCCTACTGCAGCGTCGCTGAGCTTTTAGTCTGCTTTCACCCAGAAGGAAAGCAGCATGTCCCAGGGAGTGGCAGGCTCTCTTCCACAGCCCCTCCCTGGTAACTGCAACCCACCCAACCACAAGCACGGCCGAAACATCCAGCAACCTTACCAAGAGATTGCCAAGCCCCTCGTAATCGAAGACTTTGTTCTCGTACATGTCAGCCAGTTCCTTGCTTAGTTGGATGGCTTTCTCCCACATCTCCAGAAGGCAAAGCGAAAAACAAAGAGTCAGAACATTCACTGGGAGGAAGAGAGAAATTAAAGCGGGGTGCAGAACTTTACTCCTGGGGGGCCAAATCTGGTTCTTCCTAGTTGCCCATTCCTCAGGCTCCACCTTATTTTCTTGGCTTTCATTCAATCCATGAACAGCAAGCCAGGAGGGTTAGCTAGTCCATATGAACTTCAGAGGTTAGTACACAGCGAAGCAGCTGTGCAAATCAGCCCTCAGCATGTTAAATTTTAAGAGCAAAAGGGGCCTTATGCATCTCTTTTAAAAACTCAACACAGCTAAAAAGCACCACTGTAAAGGGGAGAAATAGTTAACTTGTTCTTAACTCATCTCTTTTTTTTGACCTGAACAGAATTAAAAGTATTGATAATCACTCTTAAAGCCCTGAACTGCCTCAAAGGCATCTAAGACAGGGGGAGGCAGAAGGGGGGCTGGGATCTACTGGTAGATCTCTGGGTGAGTCGCAGCTCGTCAGGCAAGGTTTTCTGATTTATTTAACAAAGGCAGCAACTGAACCCTGAAACCTAGAAAGCATGGAAGATGAGCGAGTCGGGATGAGAACAGCGAGGGAAATGAGGGGTAGATCTTTCTGCGATCTTTCTACCAACTCAGTTCTGGTCGTGCAAGCCATTTCTTGAGTTGAGCATGTGTTCAGAGGCACCCCGCTCCTCAAGTAGGGACACAGGAAAGCTGCCTAGACCTTTGGCCCATATAGCCCAGTACTGCCAGCACTGACTGCGGGGTCGCCGCACGCCAGGATTTCAAGTCTGGCACTGTCTGCATGAGAAGTGCGAGCGCTACCGCTGAGCTACAGTACGTGTTCGCTTCTGTGCATCGTATCACATCTGTTTTGCAATGGTCTATATGGCCATGGGGTTTCTCTTAAAAAAAGCCAGTAGAGGCAAGAAACCTGAACCCTGCCTGCCCGAATCCCCCTCCCCTGCATCGGCCTGCAAGCATGGCTTAGCCTGACTCACTTTGCCTTTGTCAAAGAAAGCAATGATTTCTTGGTAGAGTTTCTCTTTGAGCTCCTGCTGCGAATAGACACAGTAGCTGTCCCTCTGAAGAAGGTGTGGGGCGCATGGATTATCAGACCACTAGGAGAAGACAAAGAACAACCAGGGTGTTAGGGCAAACACAAATGCTATACCGTCAGAGGCTTTTCTGGAAGCAAATCCTGCCGTGGGCTCTTCCGAGTAGTCAGACATTTTCCTCTGCAAGCTCAGAGTATGATTAAGGATGGGCCAGGTGAGGGGGAACGTTTGGTTTGCTTTTTCCAGCAAGCTGACCTCATTCCCACTCCCTGAGTTAATACGTGGATTGGAACACAGTTATCCTCAGGATTATGCTGTTATCTGAACCTGGTGATGAAGTTCTTGGCACAGTGACTGTCTACACAAATGCTTATGTTAGGGAAAGCCACACGCAGAAACGCTCATGTCAGGGGAAACTGTGTCAAAAACAAACGCAGGTATTTGTGTACAGATGGAAAAGAAAATCTGTGAATGGATATGGGAATTGGAAGACAGGCAAAATACATTTGAAACTGGCACAAACCGATATAGACCGATGAATCCATTCCTAGGGATGGCTGAACTTCAAAAAAGATGAGAGGGATTTTAAGAAAATCGAGAGAATTTAAAGGTGCTTAGCTTTACTCTTCAGTTTAATCCATCTGGCCTCTCCTTGCCATGGGATCATCCAGCAAAAACCAGAGGTGGACTAGAGGGCTGGAGAGGTTGAAATTCCTGGGATGATGTGTGAAGGATGACCTGGCTCTATCGTATGGCTTCCAATTTCTGGAATTGTGTGGCCAAAGAGCTCCACCGAGCTTGTAGAGAAGTGGTCCCATGGAATGCACAAGCCCCATCCCTTGGCGGAGGGTGAGTGGGAAACGTTCAACAGCTGGGCACGAGGGCAGCATCTCCAGCCAGCGGGCTAAATCTTCCCCTTCCCTTGGCCCCGACCTTTTTCTCCAAACACTGAAGGTCTGGTGGTTTCCCAGTTTTTATGCATCTCCCCGACTCCCTGCTGCATTCTGAAAAGTTGAATTGCCTTTCCTAAGGCTTAGTGAAGTGCAGGAAGCACCTGAAGTGAAAATACTTTCATACAAACTAGTTCTGGTTTTCTCATTTAATGCGTCTGCAGTCCCAAGCCCCAACTTTAAGCCGGGTGTGGAAGCACTTCCTTTGGGAAACCTAAAGTTTGCAAACTCAAGATGTGGGACACTGAGGGTCTATGGGGACGCATGGGTCCCTCAAACCGTCTCTAGAGTGACTGTCTGTGTATCAGAAACATTGATTGGGATCAGACAACATGAAAAGCCACACTCAAGGTGGAATGGGGGTCACTGTTGAACTGTGGGTTGCTGTGTTCTCTGAACCCAGCCTAACAAGCCATGGCTAGTTAACCACAAACAACCCATGAAGAGAACTCACGATTTTTGTAGGAATGGGAACTGTGGCATATTGACTCTGGTTTGTTATCTTGGCTATGTTCAGACAACATGATAACAACCCACAATGACAGTGACAACCTATGATTCAATGAGAACCCATAAACAATGAGGCCTTAATCCTTGGGAGTGGGTTGTCATATTGTCTAAACTCAGGCACCATCTGAGGCATCTCAAATCCAAGACACAAGAAACCTTGAATTGTTGTCTTCTTAGTCCTCAGATACACACCAGAAAATTCACACTCTGAGGAGGGAAAATACTATGCCATATATTTGATAACGCACTCTTAATATTCTGGATGCAAAATTCTGATTTTCCCACTAACAGGAGTTCATAATAATTTAATTATTTCTGTTTCCCCTTCCAAGAGCTTGGTGCAAGCAACAAAATTAAATGCAGATGTTCCCTTCCATGCATTTCTCAGATTACAGTTTGTCATACCAACCAACTGGTGCTACTGGGAGACTGGGAGGTGATATTAGGGGACTGCCACCTGGTTTAGACGTTGGAGTTCAACCTGTTTTGGACAAGATCATACCATCCCTTGAGGATCAGTCATGCAATTTAGGAGAGTTTAGTTTGGACACCCAGGTAGCACTGGAGAGAGAATGAATTTTTCACTGGCTTAGTGAGAGGAGGAGGCTGGTCACGCCTTAGCGACATCTCAGCTCGGCTACTGCAGTGTGTTATGCATAGATCTACCCTTGAAGACCTGAAAATGCTTACCTGGAGTAACTCGGCATGCAGGAGAAGTGTGTATGCTGCCTCAGTGTAGTTTTCGGAATCTGTGTGAAGATCTCGGAGTTTATACAAGTATCTAGAAAGACAATACACAGAGAGATTGTTGTGGAACCAGAAGCAGTTGAAAAATAGGTTGAGCCTACACCCAGTGAAGGTAGCATCCCATGTTACCTGATGTATATATCTTCCCTCTTCTTTTCTTTGTAAAAGTTCTGCATAGAAAAAAAATAGCATTCTCAATCATCAAGCCATGCCAGAGATAAAAATAATAGAAAGCAAATATAAACAGAAAGCCACTGAATTCAGACTTCAGAACTGGGCATGTGCAGCCTTGAGGAGAGAGGACTGAGGGGGACATGGTTTCCCTTTAGAAGTGCATCAAAGGCTGTCACAAAGAGGAAGGTCAAGATCTCTTCTCACTGATGCCAGAGTGCAGGACATGGAATGATCAATTCAAGCCGCAACGATCCAGATTCAGGCTGGATATCAGAAAAGCTTCCTCACTGCCAGAGCAATACGACAGTGGAAGCAGCTGCCTAGAGAGGTCATGAGTTTTAGAGACATACAAGGCAAAACTAAACAGCCATCTGAGTGGGATGGTATAAACTGGTGTCCGGCAACAGCAGGGACTGGCCCCTTCCAACTCTTATTCTGTTCTATGATTCTACAAACATACAATCTGAATTCTGCAATCAGTAGTCAGAACTTAAAACCATGGTGTCAGACTCCAAACGGACAGGCAAACCATAGTTTAGAGTGCCACTTGTCTGCTTTCATATTCTATATATCTGCTACTCTGGTCTCTACATATAGTGGTCCCTATGACTTCTCTGCCTCCAAATCACAAAACCAGATGTCAAACAGGAAACCCTAGTTAGCATGAGAGCATATTTTCAAACCCAGTTCAAATCACCGTTTCTGATATTGGTTTGCCAGACTACCGCAAATCATGGCTCACCAATGCAATCTCACCAAACCATAACTAAGTTCCTACAACTAGTCTGCTAGGATGACTGAACTTGAGCCTAGGCAACGGTCAACCAAAAAAAGGTTTATCTGTGGGGTAGTAGACATGGCTGAAGGGCAAGTGGTGGTAATGATAGCATTGTGGTGCTGGTACTGGTACTTACATGGCTGCCATCCTAGAGCTGGGATATTTAAGCAGAACCTGAATGACTATCTCTTAGGGATACACTGGTAGAGGAGTTGGACTAGATGATCTCTGAGCTCCCCTCCACCTCCAGGATTCTTGCATACTAAATGAATGAGATCAGATGGTTCCCATGCATCGAATACTGGGCTTCAGCACAGGAAACTGGGCTCAAACTGCTCTGCAGTGGAATCAGTAGTCAAGGGCAAATTATTGTTCTGGCTTCAGTGTTCAACATGAGCTTCATAGTGTCTTAAGATCTTAACATGATCTTAATTCAATACATAGTATAATCTGCTACACTGAAAATCACACCCAAACCAATATGTTTCAGTGTGGGGTGGGAAATCTCTGTGCAGACTCACTAGGTGGCTGCTGGAAGTAATTATTTTATTTTGGTCTCAGTCCCCAACCTGTAAAATGGACATAATAAAAGTCACCCTTGTGTCGTTGTTGCAAGGGTTAGCCAAGATGAGAAAGCACTTTGTAAACTAAAAATGCTACGCATATTCCACAGTTACTGAGTCAACCCAGTTCACATTGGGAACGTCTGCCATCTTCTTGGATCAAGACAGTTAGGGGGTGCCTGGCCCTTGGAATGGGCCAGGCGTGATGTGATGGTCAGCAACTGCAGGCAGTCAGCCCCTGAATGTCACATACCAGCACATTGACAGTGCAGCTCATGCGGTTTTCTTTGCTCCCATCGTGCATGATGGCTCGGTAGTCCAAGAGGTTCTCCAACAGGCTGCTAACCAGCAGGACAAACACTTCACCTGAGCTCGCCAGGTATTTATGCTTCCGACAGTGTTCCAGCAGGCTGCAGGCGCATGCATGGGAAGAACCGTGGAAAGAGGAGATGGAGAGAAAAGAGTGATATGTCAGAAGTTTGGGATGAAGCCTTAATCCATTTCATTTATTCCATTTCTAGACTTCACAAGAACAGAATTTAAACCCAATTTAATTTTCATTTAAAATACGTTATAAATAACGAATATATGCATTGATACGACAAAGAGACACATACATTGAAATACAATTTTAAATGATCAGCAAGAAAAACATTGAAGACCAGATTAAAAACCTCTCCATATTATTACATTCCATTTATATTTTGCTTCTTTTTCTCTTGCAAACAGCACAGAAAGTGCCACACACAGATTTCCTCCTCTCCATTTTACCATCCCAACAACCCTGTGAGGTAGGTGAGGCTGAGAGTCAGTGACTGACCCCAGGGCTGAAGGAGGACTGGAAGCCAGGCCTCCAAGCCCCCAGTCCAGCCCTCCGAGCACCAGAGTACCCTGGCTCTCTGCTTCTTCCCTGTTTTTGTCAAGCTAGATCCAAAGCAGCATCCATGAAAAGGTTACAGTGGGGGAAGCAATGGCAGAAATGCCTGTTCCCTTCTCGAGAACGAAGCATGGGAGAGAAGTGCTACCTAGGAGCGTAAGAAAGGCCCTGCTGGATCAGACCAAAGGTCCTGCTGGTCCAACACTCCGTACACACGGGGACAAACCAGTTGTCCACAGAATCCCTCAAGCAGGATGGGCGCAAGACCTCCTCCTGCTCAGCTCCTCAGCAACTGGTGTAAGCAGACAGGCCACCTTTGCTAAAGAAGGTAGCTCACAGCCAGCAAAGCTAGTAGCCACGGAGAGCCATCTCCCTCCTGAATCTGTCCAATCCCCCTTTATACCGGTTTACTAGGAACAGATGTTAAACTAACTGGCCTGTGATTTCTGAGATCCCCCCGGATCCCTTAGCTAATACAAAAAGACTAAAGCCTGACAAAAAATGCACAGCAAAGGGAAAAAAACCACCATCTTTGGTTAACTGTAGATCTACAAGTCGCCCCGCTGTTTGCAAAATGAAACAGTGCCAGGCGAAGACCTTTTTATTTAAAAGTCATTTCAACTGTTAATTTATTATTACTGTATTTATAGATTTTAATATATAGCTGAGATGGTACCAGTTTTTAAATTATTTATTGTATTTTTATGTATGTTGTGAGCCGCCCTGAGGCTTTGTTGCATAGAAATGTTTTAAATAAATAAATAAACGTGGGAAGGCAGCCCTGTCTTAAGAAAGGGAGCTTCTAGAAAGGTGATCGAAAACACTCACACACTTACAGTTTCTCCAGCAGAAACTTGTACTGCTCATCCCCTCGACCTCCTTCCACTTCCTGATCCAGTTTAGTTATCAGCTCATCTTCAAACTGCAAGTAAAAGACCAAGAACAAAAAGATACAGAAGGGTCTAGAATCCTTCTATTGCACCCTTTGTAGTCAAAAATACGGGAAAACCGTGATGTCATCACAGAGAATGGCGCTTTGGTGTCAACCCAGCACAAAGTGAAGTATGCACAGGAGGTGACCTTATCCCAAGTCAGACCATTGACCCATCAAGTCTAGTGTTGCGAACACGGGCTGGCAGCAGCTTTACAGCATTTCAGCCAGGATCTTTCTTAGCCCTACCTGGAGATGCCTGGGGTCAGAGCTGGGGATGCCTTGCATGCAGAGCAGTTGCTCCGGCACTAAAGCATGGAAAGGACAGTTTTGACCCTTCAAAGGGACCTTGGCATGTTCCAGGGTAAGAGTGGCAGACATCCCAGAAAGGCTCCAGAAGAGAGCCTCAGGCCAGCTAGCTGATCAGGGGAGGTCAGCAGAAGATCCTATCTGCCTAATGCCTATAGCCACCACTGGAGTCGGGTAGTCCTACTCTTGGCAACAGACCTTTGCCTGTTGAATCAGGTAGTCCTACTCTTGGTAGCTCCACACCTATAAAACAAGCTCAGAAAAGCCGCATCTCGTTGGTGTAAAGCATCTGGCTTTGCAAAGCTTCAGTCCTTGGTCATTGCCTGCTCAAAGCCACATGAAGCAGCCGATGGAATGTACGTCTCTCTGAGATGCGTGGAGAGATGCTACCAGCACTAGGCTTGATGAGGAAATGGTCTGTTGGATGAGAGGTGCAGTGGGAAATTTTGATGTGCAGGTGCTCATTCTGACAATTCCCACAGAGCCATCCCTAAGGGCAGTCTATACATGCAACTATCTGTTTTGATTTCATAGCTTTCTACACACGATACACGTACACATAGCTCCCAATAATATATTGTTGCTGGAAAAATCACCCCTCATTCCCGCCGGACTTCACAGCTACTGTGAAGGTCAGAGGGAACAGGTAAGTCCATGGGGGTGGCCAATCATTCCATCATTCCTGTTAGTCAAACATTCCTGTCATATAGACAATCCAGTCTGACAAAGTTGCAAACCCAGCACTCAGTAAATTTCAAATACAATATATAGAATTATGTCTTGATATATCCTAAAAAATGTCAAAGGAACAGTATGATGCTTTATATATTGCAAAATTGTGATGTTGGACTGTTTAAATATAATCTCTTATAATACCAATGCTTTTGGCTCTCCAGCCAAAAGATAGTTATGAAAACTATACAGAAACTGGGAGAGATGTAATTTTGTTACCAGACACACATAAGAGAAAGTATAGTAAACATATTATTAGAAGCTAGAGCATAGATTGTTGACTATAGGCTCTTATTATGGCCCAAATTTTATGCAAAATCTTTTAAAGAAAGTTAAAAATTTGCCTGGGGGGAAGTTATTCTAGGAGGAGATACAAATTGTATTTTAGACCAAAAATTGGACACAACATCCAAGAATTGGTAAGTATTAAGTGAGGGGATTAAAATTAGTAAGTTAATTAGAAGAGCAGGGTTAATTGAGGGGTGGAGATATTTAAACCTCAAAATGAAAGATTTTACATTCTTCTCTAAAAAAAAATGTGTGACATTATTCAAGAATAGTTCATATTTTTGTTTCAGAAACTCTAGAGCCACATCTAGATAGAGAATATTTTGATACGACTTGAAGTTCATACCATGCCCCAATTAAAGTTTGTTGGTCTAATAAAGAATAAGGAATAAACCTAGAATTTGGAGACTAAGTTCCAACATATATCTAAATACAGAAATTATTGAAAAAGTAAAAGAGGACATAAAAACCTTCTATGAACTGAATGATAAAGAAGGAATGAAACCTTCCACATTGTGGGTACACTGAAAGCATTTCTATGAGGGAAATTTATTATGGAGGGATCAAGACTTTAAAAAATTAGAAATCATTTGCAAGAACAACTGGGAAAAAATAAAAGAATTATCAGAGCAACATATGAAAGCTGGATCAAAGAAGGTTCTTAGGGGAGTAACAAGCACTAGAGCTGAACTAGTGCCATTGGACACTGGTAAAACTCAGATAGCTATGCATCATTTAAAGCGGAATTATTATGAACATGCAAATAAAAACACTAAATTGTTATCATATGTTGTTAAGAAAAAAGCTATAAAAGAGCAATTTTATCTGTGAGAACTAAAGAAGAGAAATGCCCAACGTTTGGCATTACAAACATTTCTTAATTTTTAAGAATTAAAAATTCTTAAGATTTTGAATAGAATAAATAGTTATGCTTGAAAAACTGTCTAATCAAGTCATGATATATAAAGGGGAAATAAAACACAATCATTTTAAGAAAATTTGGCAACCACTATTGAAACATGGCACTGAGCTTATCTTAGATGAAGATATTATAGGTAATAATGTGGTCTTTAAGTTTTTAGGATAGATAATCATACGATAAGGGGTTAGATAATAGTACAATATGGAATTAAGAATAATATAAGGCTGTATTCAGGCATATATGTGAGCATGTTTACATATATGTTTTTATGTTATTCTTGTTACTGGCATTAGGAGGTTATGTTTATGCTGTAATGAGATGATTGTTAAATAATAAAATATTTTTTTAAAAAAATCCTGGTGTTTCATCCCTGTGAGCCCCAGATCCACTGCACCACTAGAGCTAACATAAGCTATGTTCCTAAACACACGGAAAACCCAAAACAGGAAACACTTCCTTTCCTTCCCCAATCATTCCACATAAAACCATTTTCTGCTGGAACCCAGATACTGACCTAGCTTAGAGAATAACAAACTAGTTAGATCGTACTTTGTTTGAACAAACTTTGGCTGGAACTCCCTAAATGCATGTATTAACATGCAGCAATATCTGCATCCTAACACAAAAACACACATTTTTAGCTTCCTCTTGTATGCCTCATTGCTGTTCATTTACAAGTCCTAAACCAGCAGTTATACAGCCCATCTGATAATTAATGGGATTCTTGGCAGATCAAATAATAAATGGTGGGATTTTTTGTTCTACAAATCGAAGTACGTATAATACTCATTCTTCTTAAAATAAGCATATATATTTGCATTTCTAATGCAACAGATATGACTGGTTTTACAAGCAAGGCACTGTGAAATTGGGTGTAAAGTTTTGATTGATTTAACCTCCGGTCAGGTTCAATTTTGCCTCTGTATTTAGGCTTCAGGGTCCTGGTCAAACAGCATCGATCTCCAGGAAAAATAAAGCCAGCATACAGCCAAGGAGAACTAGTCCCATCTGACTGGCAGCGTTTCTTCAGACCATGGAAAGGTGCTCGTGGACTACAATCTGGGAATCCTTGCCTGGTGCCACAGTTCCGGACAGACGATTCACTAAGCTGGGCCAACGCACAGGATTCTAAGATGGAGTGTTCTCCCAGATTTACAGTAAGAGCTCCATGCAACCCCCAGACTTAAGTTTGGAGACATGCAACAGACTCCTGTTGCCCCTGTGGCTGAATTTGCTGCAGGACTGGTGGTGCAGAGCTTGGCAGCTTTCAGAGGCAACCCTCATCAGTGGTCTAGAAAGGTCAAATGTGGTTTAAAGCTGCTGTTATAGGTTGCCGATTGTTCCGCTGCTGCTGCTGCTGAAATTTAGTAGGATGGTGTAAATTGGTGACCTGCAACAGCAGGGGGTTGGACCTGATGGCCTTCCTGGCCCCTTCCAGTTCTAGTACGATTCTACCGTGTGCAGCAGGGAGCCTGTGACCACCAGAAGGGAGAAATGGGCCCTCAGAGCCCCTGAAGTTGCGCACTCTGGCTTTATAGCGTGTCAAGTGCTTGGATGTTCCTGCAGAGTCACACTGTTCCAATTCTAAAAGCCCAATTCTGAACTCCCTCCCTCATTCCACTGGTGCACATTGGCTTTCCCCCTGCAGCTGGCTCCATACCATGTGGAAGTTTCTGCTCCCGCTGAAGTTGAATTCACACTGCATCATGTCAAAAAAGATGGGGATCGTTGCCTTCCGCAATTCAGGCTCTGGCGTCAAGGTCACCTCCAGGATTGGGCCTACCATGGAGGGGATGAACTTGATCTTGTGAGGCCCTGCAGAAAAGAAGGCGGGGATGAGAAGAACGGAAGTATGGATGGCTGCTTTAATCCCTTGCAGAACCCCAGGGCTCTCTACCCACCCGCGACTGTGCTTGAGTATTTCATAAGCAAAAAGCATGACAGAAATGCTCGTACTGCTTGGTCACTCCTCTCCCACCAGCCCGGGTTCCTGTGGGGACTCTGGGATTAAATGCTATCAAGATGGGGTGGGTAGGGCCAGACTAGAAGGAGGGAGAACATGGGGGAGCTCACCCTAGAGACTGGAACGGCTTCCCCAGCTCTGTGATGCCCATTTCCGTCCCACTGCATTGCCTCCCTGCTCCCACTGATTTCTGCTACTGATTTCAGAACTTCCTGGAATACTTTCCAAAATTATATGACCTGTGTGGAAGTCCTGAGCATGTCAAGTTACAGAGGATTCTGGGAGTTCTTCTGTTGGAAGTTACAGGCTGGATTCATACTACACAACAAGCCAGAACACAAGTTGAGTGTGCTTGTCATTGAACCGTTGCGTCGTGCGAACCCAGCTGTACAAACCAACCATGCTTTATTAACCACAAACAAGCCCGAGTTCACAACCCAACAACCAAGGCTTTTCCTTGCAAGTTGCTTCTGGCTAACAAACTGTTTTGTTAGCATGGCTGGGGTCACACAACCTGAGTGCACAAGTATCACCACATCCTGGGAAGTACTAGTTCCCCTCAGTTCTACTCAGCAGGGTTTCGGCTTCATTTTGAATGCTATGTCCATTTCTGGGCACCACAGTTTAAAGAAAGAGGCAGACGAAGTGGAAAAGGTTCAGAGCAGGGCAACAAGGATTATCAGGGGACTGGACGCAAAGCCCCATGAGGACTGACTAGAAAAAGTGAGCATATTTGGCCCCGAGAGGAGACGACTGAGGGGAACTAGGGTACCACTCTACAAGTACTGGCAAGGCTGCCACAAAGAGGAAGGACGGGGTCTCTTCTTGACCCTGCAAAGTACAGGACTAAAGTTCCAGGAAGCTGGATTCTGGCTAGATATCAGGAAAAACCTCCTGACTGTTAGAGCAGCACAGCAATGGGACTAAAGACCCAGGGAGGCAGTGGGCTCTCCCACACGAGAGGCCTTCAGGAGGCAACTGGACAGCCACCTGAGAGGGATGGTTTAAGCTGGAGCCCTGCACTGAGCAGGTTGGACCTGATGGCTTTCCTGGCCCCTTCCAACTCTACTATACTGTGATTCTATCACCTGATCACCACGAGGTTCAGCAACCCCTATGCAATCCATCCTCTAGCTTGCTGTGCCATGTGAACTAGAACGGCCTTTCCTAGCCTGATACTTCAGGATATAACGGATGAGATCAGCTTGGAAAAGGCTGCCCTACGACACAACCTGTTGTGAGCCAGGCGCCCCTTGCCGAAGAACGCAATCCCTCCAGCAATCGCCAAAAGAGTCTTTAGTCCAAATGGCTACAAAGAATTCACAACACTCAAGGTAGAAAGTTAACCTCTTCCCCTGACTAAGGTCACCCCACGCTATGCTTATGAACTCTTCAGGGCTGGAACCTGGGGGGTGGTGCGCTTTGGATGCGCCCTCGCTGCCGCTCCCCAAATCGTGTCTCCAGTTGCCCCGGCTGACGCGAGCACTTGCGCAATCGAGCATCCCAAATAATCTCTGGAGGCTCCCTAGCCTGCCCTCTATCAGTTTTGTTCTCACAGTAAGAATAGTGTCAAGCCCCGTGTCTGTCCCTGAAGTGTTTTGATCCTGCCCAGCCTCGGCCTGCCCCCCTGGGGTGGCTCACCACCCGTCAGGGCTCCAGCCATAACATCTAGAGAATTAGGCTGAGAACACGGTACTGGTGCTGGAACAATGATTAACTCCTCCTCTTCTAGTTTGGAGCTCTGGTTCTCACCAGAGCCTTCACTCTCTCGTGCGCCTGTGGGAATCTCATCTGAGCACGTGCAAACGGCACAGCCAGCACTCCCTGCAGAATGTTTTGCACGGATTATCTCCAGCATTATCAATACTATTTATAATGTGACTGGAGTGACTATTTATAATGTGACTGGGCCTTGCTCAGCTATGCGGACAAAGGTAGACTAGTCCAGTTCCTGCTCCCAAGCCAACTGCACTCTGAAAAAATCAGGAGCAAGTCTGGACAGTCGTACCTCAGCTTAATAAACTGCACTCTCCTCCCCTTCCATAATCCAGTAAACAACTCAGGAACCCTTGCACTAATCCTCATTTCCTGTGCTGTCCAAACCAAGGAAATAGGGTTAACCTTGGCTTGCTCCAAAGCTGTTCACCGTTATTCCCTGGCATGCACGATATGGGCAACCGTCATGAATGGAAAAGTTCCTGTGGTGCTTGCTTGTGTGAAGTGAGGAACAAAATATTTACATGTATGTCGGAAAGGCTCATTTGAACCGGAGCTTATAATGTTGCACTGGGATCATCTGAATGCGATTGGGGGGGAAGCAATGTGCACCCCTCCTTTGGATTTGGAGAGCAGGGCCGTCGCACTCCATTATTCTCTGGGAAATGCATGGCCCCCTCCTAGTGAAAATGGTACCTTCCAAGTCTCACTTCCCTTCATGTGAGAGATCTCCATGTTCCTTCTGAGATCTTACTTGATCTGACCCATGAACCAAAGCCCGGAGTACTCAGATGCAAACCATGGCAAGCACGCTTGCTGCTCCAAGCCCTGAGAAGATGAAAGGACCTTACCAAGGTTGTACCACATGTCCCTTATCTTGAATCCAATATCCTTCCTCATGTCACCATATCTAGAAAAAAAGTGGAAGATTCAATGCATTCAGTGGGCTTGCTAAACCTACGGAGAAAGTTAGAGCTGATTCATACACTTTTTAAGGCGATTATCACAGAGTTCTGGACTTTAGTTGATGGTTCACCACCATAACCTGGATGAGTTCCAGCAAAAGTGGGTTGTACCCCCATCAAAGCCTTGTAGAGTCGGATTAGGTAGTGTAACTGAATGGATGTCAGCAGTGCTTTTTTTGTAAATAAAAATAAAAATAAAAAAGGTGCCGGAACTCACGTCGCCACTGGCAGTAAGCACTCAGCGCACGACCACACACACCAATCCCAAGCGAGCAGCCAGCGCCCTCACTATCAGATAGCAGACACAATAGCAGCCCGCAGGCTCTATGTTAATGAGGTTTGCTGCTGATCTGCTATGCCATTCAAAATCACTTCGTAAAATCCATTGGAAAAAAAGGTGCCGGAACGCCATTCTGGTGCGTTCTATGACAAAAAAAGCCCTGGATGTCAGTTGGGGGAGCTAACCTCTCAACAGAGGTGATGGAACAGCTCTGCTTTTCTTATTTTAATCATACACAATTATGTGTAGATTTGATCGATCAGATACTCATTTGATCAACCAACATTTCTTTAATCCAGTGACAGCCCTAGTTAATTTATACATGCTGGATCTGGAAAAAAAGTTCAAAGGCAGCAGCCACTGAATAAAAAGCAAGAGCTATGTCTGCATGATAAGCATGGAGAACCCACAGCTGAACAGTTTTCTGATTCCTACCTGCTCCAAAATTAGACACATTCCCTGCTGTCAGATTTACAATAGCACCCAGGGTGGCAAATTTGCCAGGATTATGCAGATAAAGTGCAACCGAAGTCACGTGGAGGCGATGGGGGAGAAACTCACACGGAAACTTACTTCTTGACCATCTTGGTCCGTTTAGCCTGAGAAAAGGTCTCCAGCTGAAGAGATTCGTGGGTAAGGAATGCAACTGCCAAGTGGAAGTAATTATTCCACAGCTGAGGAGAACAAGAGAGAGACAAGATGAGACAATCCCGAGAACCCCAAATGGGGAATCAAGCGCTCTGAGGGATGCTCTGCACAGAAGCTTGCCTGTGCCCCAGGACCTACACAAGGAGTCCTTCTTGAATGCCCACCAGGGGGGACCCAATTCTAGTTACTGAACCCCCAGAGGGCCCCAAACTCGGAGATCATCCAATGCAAGGAGGAGGAAGAGGCAGCAGTCATCTCTGCTCTCTCCCTCCTTCCTTGCAGGTTTTGAGACAGGCTTTTTGGCCATCGAGCAACGACACTTCAGAAAGGAGGCAGTTCTGACCAACCTCTATCTGCACCCCGCATCCCCACTGAAATATCCCCCTTTCCCCTCAGACAAGGTAGTCTTTCTGACCTCAGAAGGCAGCTAGCATGGCTCTTGCTGCACCAGCTGCAAGAAGCTGGTAGGGGAGAGAGCAGATCTTTGACTCTCCCTTCTGAAGTCAGGGCCCCAATCGGTGGTCCTTGGCACATCCACTCAGGGATAATGTCAAGCGCTGGTCTCCTCCAGGAAGCCTCTCTCCTTTTCCACTTCCTGGCTGATAAGAGGAGAGGCTTCTAATTGGAGTCTTTTATCTTAAAGCAGGCTTGTCAGGACTGGCTTTGCGATTCAAAGGATGTGATGAAAAGGCCATTAGCAAGAAGCATCCCGCAAGTTAATGGGCCAGCTAGTTAGTGAGCACTGCTCATGCCAGAAGCTGGTTCTAAATGGAATTCCTCCTTCCTTTCCCACCACAGTAGAGTTAGCTCCACCTTCAGGGAGATTCCCACTGCTTGTGGACCAGGCAGAGGGAACACCAGACACTACTTACTGGTCCCTCTTGCCCTGGCATCGAACAACGGTCCTGACGAAGCCACACTCCTCCCCACTGGGCCCTCCCTGTCCCACCACATCTCCTCCTGAAGCAGAGGTGGCGCTTTGCTGATCTTGAAGCTCCCTGGCTTGATCCCAGTACCCTCCTTGGAATGCTGCATTTGGGGAGAACTGGGTCCTGTCCCTATTGATTGCTCACGGAGATCTGTTAGGTGGGTTTGCTTAAGAGCTGGTCCTTTTCCCACGTGGAATTCCATCCTACTAATGCATGTCTAGCCCCCCTGTGCAGGCACTGAGACTCTTCCATCTGACGTTCTCTTTAGCCGACTTGATATCGGCTTGCATGGCCAAAGCGGCATTGCCAAATTCTGCCTGCTCCTACAGTGGCTGCAACATCCTGTATCTGAGCACACTCTTGTTTGTGTGCCGAAGGGAACACAATGGGTTCTTCTCAGGGCATACGCCTGAAAGCAAGCTCATAACTGACTTAAGTTCCCAGTCGTGCTAGCAGTGTAAACACCCAATTATATCTTGTTTCCAATAGCAGATGTCTGAACACTTCTGGGAATCAACAAGGAAGGCATGGAGGCAACAGATGGTCCCCACGGTTTGAGCTGTCCTGCCATGCAGCCCCTGCCACACCCAACTGATCCGGCATTCAAAAGAAGATTGAGACATTCTACAAGATGCTCAGCGCTCCCTAGTTGGAGTTCTCCCATCACAACTCCCATCAGCCCCAGGCTGCAGGCCCACTGGTCAGAGGGAAGAAAATTGTGCTCCAAAGCCATGTTGGGGAAGGCAGGCACAGTCATGGGGAGGCAAACAGCAGGGATTGCGTCAGTTTTAGAGAAAAAGGACAGGGAAGTCCAGCTTGAAGCTGGGTCCTTTCCACGGCAGGGCACAGATACACCTGCAGCGACCGGCAGACTAAAATGCAGGCTCCGGGTCCAATCCTGCATCCGCCATGCAATCGGTCACTTTCCTGCACTTGTTGGACGGCAGGCCTCCCCATGGCAGCACTGGTGAGAATCAGACTGGGTTGCTTTATCCGGTTGCTGCAAGGGAGCCAGGCAATGCCAGTGGAGGGCGCCGAAAGGTTAAAAGCACCACACAAACGTCATTTGTGATGCTACCTACTTGCCATGAACTACCCACCCTCTGCAACTGAAATGCCTCTCTGCACATGTAGCAGATGAAGGGGCAGGATGCTGAAATGGAGACGGGTCTCCATCATCTCAGAATGGTGAGAGACAGGCTGAAGTCACCTTTTTAAATGCTCCTTCAGGTAACAACTCCACAAAGGGACATCTAGGAGTTCAGGTTTCTTTCTAAATGGGGCTTTCATTGCACCACAACCCTGCCTCAATCTCTAGAATTTTACCAGAACGTTTATCTTCCACTCACAGCCCTGCTAGGCAAAGGTACCGGAGAAATCCACAAAGGATTCAAATTCAGTGGATTTAAATCATTTCTATCAATTCAGCCCAGAGATTCTGAAGGACTTGCCTACCCATTTTTCACTTTGGGCAGGGGTAATTTGTGGCAATTCACACTTGAGTGTGCATTGGCACAAATATGCACTTGTGCATCAGTCACAGTGAATTAGCATGTTCGTGCAAGTGTGTATTAGCTCTAGTATGTATTTCATTTTTATTAGGGCAAGTAGAACTAAATTCTGGTTAGTAAAATTCCGCCGCTGTAATAAGATGCTTGTGGCATGAATTCAACAAAAGCTGCGCACACACAATACCAGGCTTCTCCCACACTTCTTCCAGCTTTTCTTTCATCATTAAGGTAAAGCAAAAACAGTTAAGGAGGAGAAAAGGCAGAACTGCTACAGAACCTCTTCTGATCGGTGGCATCAGGACTGCCTTGACTCTGAACATGCATGAGCCCTCCATGGCAGCCACCAAAGTGGTCTCTGCACCTAGAACCTTTTATAGAAGCAGCAACTAAACAGTTCTGGGCTTGCTGCTTGCTGAGCCAAAGGAAACCACAGTGCTATCCACTACTCTAAAGTAAGCCCCATGGAGTTTAATGGGACTTATTCCCAGCCGAGGGAATAAGTCCCATTAAACTTATTCCCAGCTGTACTGAACTCCAGTGGTTTATGACTGAGTAGGCCTTAGAGCAGTGGTGGCGAACCTATGGCCGTGGTGGGCATGCGGAGCCCGCTCTGTTGGCACGCGAGCCCAGTCACCCCAGCATCGCCCCAGCAGCTGAGCATCAAACGGCACACAGGGGCCCTGCGCATGCTTTGAAATGAGCAGCAGCGCTGGGCAATGATGCCACAAGCCACGACTCATTGGCTGCTACTCATCTGAGCTTTCGCATGGCCAGTCAGTGCGCTGCCAAGGATATGGATATGGATGTGTGTGTGTGTGTGTGTGTGTGTGTGTATGCTTGGACTGGCTGTGAGTTGTTTTTTCTAAACTAAAACCTCAGTATTCATGTTTTATGGCAGTGTTGGCACTTTGCGATAAATGGGATGCGGTTTGGGCACTCAGTCTCTAAAAGGTTCGCCATCACTGCCTTAGAGGATTGCACTGTAAAGCACAGAAGTCCGCGTGCAGAGGGGCTCAGCGCCTAAGCTATGATGGGTTGTCTTCTCCAGATATTTTTCAATCAAGAATCCAAGTGCACGTATTCATTAACAACAGCTAATATAGAGCATTGGGTTGCTAGATGGAAGGATGCCTGCAGAGGCAGGATTTCAGCACCGGCATCATCCTTTGGGTACCAGGTTTAGAGACTTTCCTCCCAGGTGTTCGCTGGCACTTTCAATTCTTGCAGGTGTTTCATGCCCCTTTAAAGCTTTGTTATGTTAAAGATTTTATATGGTGTGTTTATTAAGCACCATGCTGGGTTGCAACTTTTGTGATGAGCCTTGGGGACTTTGACAATGGGCTTGTACGGAAAAAAAATGTCATGGAATGAAGATGGTGATCAAACTGTGATCTCACCTGCAGTTCAAAGCTTGCCTGGTCCAAAAAGAAACGGTTGAGCACGGAGGCATATTGGTTGATGGCTCGAAGGAAAATCCTGGAAAAATAAAGTCCAGGGAGATGAGAAAATGGCAAAAGGAGGGGAAAAGGTTCAGATTTCTTTCCCATCCCTGTAAAACCTTAGCTGGTGCCCACAGTTTGTTATGATTGGTATTATACTTTTCCTAAGCAGTGTCACCAAGTTTAGAGTATTTTTAAACATCTCTTCCCAGTTTGAAGCAGAAGATCTGGAGAGTTCACGGCAGCCAGTGATGAAAGGAACTTTACAGGACAAAGATGCCAGGCATGACCCTGAGATACAGGATGATGCTTGGGTCGGGGTGTCCTATTGAGCCATGGTTAACACAGCTTCTTCAAACTGGCAACAGCAGCCAGTTTGGAAAAGACCCCGCAGCAACGGTTTCTATGTACCTGTTCTGCATCATGTTCATGACCATCCAGTCACCTGCATAGACATTCTTTCCAATCAGGTCTTTAAACATGATGAAAGTTTCCATCAGGAAATCCTGCAGGAAGGAAAGCAATCAAGAATGAAGGAAGGCAGTGTGGTGGAGTGGTTAGAGTGCTGGACTTGTATTCAGGAGAACTAAGTTCTAGTCCCCACTTGGCCATGAATTCACTGGGTGACTTCAAGCCAGGCACTGACGCTCAGCTTAACCTGCCTAACAAGGTTGTGAGGACCGGTCAATAGGCTTTATTCCAGAGAGGCCGCTTTTGTTCCTAAATAGATTACCATATGGATCACTTTGTTCATTCGTATATTACTCTGGTGGGTAGAAGAGGGAGGCGGGACAAGTAGGGAGCCTCTCCACTTTGCTGTACGCATCGCTACTTATTAACTGCACTGATAATCAGCCATGCACCCAATAAAATCAAAGCATTAATTAAAAAGAGCACTATTCTTGCATCCTCTGGGCTTGCACTGCTAGCTGAGTTTTCAGAAAGACCAAAGTGGCAATACTGACACCCTAGATCCATCGGCATTGTCCCTTAAACTCTATTTCCCTTGGGAATACCTAAAAGCACTGGCAGATCAGCCAGAGATCGGAGACTTTATACCTCCCTTAGTAAGCTGGGACAGCCCTAATGCCAATAATAATAAATCTTGCAACACCAACAAAGCTGGATTTCATGTCAGAAGGGAAGACCAACTCTTGCCCTGCTGGGGATACTCCCAGCAGTAAATTCCCAATGAAACACTGAGGTGCACCACAAGGCAGAAAGCTGGCTCTCTCGCGCAGGGAGATCAAAGGAAAAGCTCCGCGTCGGACTTTTCGGAGCCCAGAGCAAAAACAGGCGGCAAGTCCAGGCTGCCCGTAAAAGAGGGAAGGGCTCCTTGGCACCCAACACCGCCGACTGCTATACATCACCACCGCGCTGCTGGGAGCAGTTGTGCCAAGCCGTTCCTCCCGGTGCCATTAAAATGCCCAACGTTCTCCAAGATGCCCCCCAAGCATTTTCGAGTCAAAGCTTTCCTTACTGCTCAGAGCCAAACAGCCACCTTGGGAACATGTGGTGTGTAAAGGAAATTAGGAATGATTCCAAAACACGGAGGAGGTTGGAGCATGTTGGAGACCCTCAGCCAGTTCCCAGGGCTCGAGTGAGCCCAAGTGTGCAAGCGCCGTGCCAGGCCATGTGGGGACTGAAAGCTCTGCCCCTCTTCTCGCCCAGACGGCTGTGAGCAATGCCCATCTTCTCACCCAGCCGACGGGACTTGGGTCCCGGAACCCTTGGCTCAGGGACCATGTGCCCCTCTGTTGGACAGAGGAGTTAATTGCTGCTGTGGGCCTCTCGATTGTCTGGAATGGCCTGATGGGTCAAATGAATTACAGAGGCGGGGAGGACAGAGCTCTTGTGCCCCACAACATGGGTGTGGAACCCCTGGTGGTGGTGGTGGAGGGGGTAAGGGCCGAACACCACTTCGGAGAAACCCTTGGGGTCAGCGTTCCAGACGCAGCAGGGCAGAAGCAAAGGCACAGGGGCAAAATACCAGCATTCCACAACACATCAAGTCACACTGTGTGCCATCAAAACACCGTGTTTTATTTAATGTGTAGTTTAGCCCTGAGAAGCCCAGCACTGAGCTAAAATATAAGTCACATTTTTCAGAGAAATGAGCAGGAAGAGAGGGTTTGAATAGCGCTGAAGTTAGATCGGTTCACACATCGCAACTGCGCAGGGGAGTTCTGGGGAGTTGTTTTGCTTTTTGTTCTTAATCAGGGGCTGTTTCTCCTACCCCTAGGTTATTTAGGACTTTTAGTGAAGGATGGTATCTAAAAGCTGTAAATAAACAAATACATTTAGTGTGAGATGTGAGCCAGGAATTTTGGCTTGTCAGGAAAGACACAACCCAGTGCTGTAATCCAGAGTCAAGCCTCGGGGTTGAACTGCAGCTTGCCCCTTTCCCACAAGCTGAACAACTTTCTTCTGCTTGCCATGGAGTGGCAATTAAAAAACTGAGCCAGTCATAGAAGGAAGCCAAATATGTAGAGCAACGGCCTTTGCTGGATCTGCTCTTGTGGGCTGAAGAATAAGTGAGGCGGCAGAGTCCAAGGCAGGACAATGAGACCCAGAAAAGGCCCTTCTCGGTGGAATGTGTGGAGGACAGCACAGCTGTGCTGTGCAGAATTGGAAAATATCACGAAGAGACGTCGGCCGGGTTGCTTACTGGGGAAATTGTGTCCAAGTATTATCAAATCAGTGCCCAAAGGATATGATTCTTCCTGACAGACGGCACCACAATGATCAGAATTCAGGACTTAATCGCATTCACCCGAAGAAGCAGGGAATGAGCTTCAAAGGTCACAAGGGAATGATGATTTAATTTCATACTGAAATTAGTTTTTCCCCAGGAAAATCACTCAGAAGGAAGCAGCGCATGTAGCCCTTCCACTGCCATGTTCAAGCTCTGTTGGCGAGCCAGTGAAACGTGCTTGTTTTCCTGCTCCTGTGGCCTCTTTACCAGAGAGATAATAAAATCTGCTTCCTCCCACCTCCATACCCTGCAGCAAACACACACGCTCTTTCATCCATAGTCCAAGCAGACCAAAACGTGCTAGGACAAGCTCCAAATTTCTGTTCAGACCAATGAAAATCAGGGCCAAACTACCTGTTAACCTTAAAGGCATATAAGCAGTTAATGTGCACATTCTTTCGATTTTTGGCTAAACAGGATTGGGATGAGCATGCACGGGGGCAGGGGAATCATCCCTATATTTGGCTTCAGTAACCTATGCTCTGGTAATCTCTAAACTAGATTACTGCAATACATTCTCCTTGGGGCTGTCCTTGGAGACTGTTCGAAGTGGTAGCCTGTGTGGAATGTGGCAGCCAGATTAATAACTGGCTGCAGCTCCAAACAGATAAGACGGGTGCTGACCCACTTGCATTGGGGGACTGTGCTTCTGGACCCAATTCAAAATGCTGGTTTCAATCTATCAAGCTTTACCTGGGGCAGCCTCCCCACTCCAGCTCACCTGGAGCCAACCTTGTCATTTTTTCAGCACCAGGTTAAGGTGCCTCTTCAGCCATTTAAAATGACATGTTACTTGGATGAGATGCCACCGCATTTTTAATGTATTTCGCTGTCTTGCTTTTACGTACTGTTGAAAACCACACAGAGAACTCCAGCGATGTGGGGCAGTACAGGACTAAAGAGACAATGCCCCAAATCACCCCCCTGCCCACCCAAGTGGCTATTAACCTTAGGGGGGAAGGTGCCCCTGGTGTCGAAGGTTCCCCTTCGCCCTCTTCCTCGTGACCTCGCCTCTCCTTCCCCCACCCCCGGGGCTGCTCTTTAAAGGACATCCAGGGCGGGTGTGCATTCCATGCCAGGCCTGGTCCCTGCCTGATCCGCCTCGCGAGGGCTGACCGTTGGCCTGCGCTGCTAGGGGTCGATCTACAGCTCATGCGCCTGACACGGTGAGCTGCCAAGCCCTCTCCTTCTGTTTTTAACTCAAGGGCAGAAGCGCACGACCCCATCCAGATCTGGGCCAGGAGGGGACGCTTGAGCCTTCCTCTCCCAGCTGCTTGCTTCTCAATCTTTGCCTGCTGCCCTGCGCAGAAAAGGAAATGAGAACGCCCTCCAGCGTGTTGCCACAAGCTTCAAAGCATCATCACTACAAACACAATGAAAGGAGAGTATCACTGGGAAGCAAGCAGCTGGGTGAGGGAAGGGTTCCTTTTCACCTCCTGCTGCCTGGTGATCCCCAACCGGACCAGGACTTGCTCCAGAGCAAGGAACGAGAAACAGAATCCGTGCTGGGCTACGGAATGAGATTTACTCTGGTTGGAGACGCAGGCTGCAAATCGGAGCCCGTGTGCACCCCCTTCACCTTGCCTTGCCCCCAGCTGCTCAAGGGACCAGGCCTGCCAGCTGGGCTGCAAAATAAATCCATTTCCTACGGGGAGAATGGATCGCTCAACCCTGTCGGCTTTGTTGGTCTGATATGGCCAAGTTAGAGTCAGTGCAGCGCAGGGCCACAAGGTTGGTGGCCAGTTTGCAGGGGATGCCGTATGAGGCGAGACTGAGGGAACTGGGTCTCTTCAGCCTGGAGAAGAGGAGATCAGAGGGGATCTGTTGGCGACGTACAGGTATGTGAGGGGATGTCACATGGAGATGGATAGAGACCTGTTCTCCCCTGCAGAGGAAGGCAGGACGCGCTCCAACGGAGCAAAGCTCAGGGAGCCAAGGTTTCGTTTGGATGCCAGGAAGCACTTCCTGACAATCAGGACCCCGAGGGTGTGGAATGGGCTTCCACAGGAGGTCGTTGAGGCCTCATCGGTGCAGGTGTTCAAGGATGGGCTGGACGTGCACATGGTGGGCATGTCGTGAGCAGAGCCGGCTGGAGCCAGGGGTCAGACTAGATGGCCTGGAGGCCATCTGCCTGGCTCTGTTTCTATGTTTCTATTTCTGATTTATTTAAAGCAATCCCAAACTGTGCTGGATTAACAAGCAGGGGGATGTTTGATAGTTTTCATTTCAGCAACTGAAGCTTATGGAGATCATGCAGCCTAATTTCATGGGCACAGAGAAAGCTGATGGAAACCTAGCGCCAAACCTACCCCACCTGTGGCCTTGCAATGGCTTGGTCAGTCTGGCCTGTGTACAAATTTGTGGCTGCTTTGACAAGGCACGTGCCAAGGCTGGAATGCTGCTCTGGGACAAGATTCTAGTCCTCACACTTGGCCGCCATGCTCACTGCATGACTTTGGGCAAGTCAGTGACTCTTAGCATAACATACCTCATAGGGTTGTTGTGAGGATACCATGGAGAGGGAGCTAAGGAAGCTGGCTTGAGTTCCTTGCAGGAAAAAAGCCAGGGGACGAAGTTTAGCAGTCTAAAGCATCCTGAAATGAGATTTCAGGCCAAAGTACATGATTATAAGGCCTGACTGCATTACCTCTTTTCATCTAAGGAGCAAATGCCATTTCATAGACTGCATGCCATGGTGGGGACGGGAGGGGGGCAAAAATACTGAAAACCCCAATTTTAGCATAACATTCTTTCCATCAGTTACTAAGCCTTTCGAAAGACTTAGTTTTTAAAGAAAGGGGCGGGGGGACTGTATAAAGACTTGAGAAGTCTAAAAGATTGCTGACTGGGACAAGCAGCAGCGGGACAGTGGACCAAGGCAATGTCTGGATTGGGACCTCAAGGAGGGCAGATTTCTTCCCTGGGACTGAGGTTCTGTACCCCTAGTTTTGGAGGTCATTGCAATTTTTAAACTGGGTTCAAGGCAGAAACATTGTAAGTTAAGGGCAATTTTAAGAATGTCCAACTAGGTGATGCAGTCAGAAATTGTAGCTGCTTTGAAGGGCAACTGGGGACAGGGAGCAGGGAGTCAAAGCCATGAGAAATCTTCCTAAATGGCAGCATAAAACTGCTGTCTGCAGCAGCTGGAAGTTCTTCCAAAGTTAGCTTCTCTTCCTGTTTGCTAAGCAAATCCACACCGAAAGAGCTTTTGAGTAACCTGATTCGAGTTAGACATTCTGAAACAAAAAACCACAAAAGCCGTTGCTGATGACCCAAATGGCCTGGGGAGTTGCTTGTAAACAGACCTATGCTCTTGGAGCGAGAACCACACATCTGCATTTCTGGAAGCCCACTCCGAGGGCTCGAAAGCGCCAGCTTCCCCTCAGACCAAATAAAGCCAAAGCCTGCAGAATTCTTGGCAGACCTCCACAGGAGAAGAGACGTTGCATCACTCCCTGCTTCTTTCCTTCCTTCCTTTCTGTCTCTCTTTTTTCCACAGTGAACTAAACATATGCCAGTCCCCAGACTTCCCTCCTGCACTGTGCTTAATGGGTTTTTCCACATCACGGTGCTGGTCTCGTGGCCCCAGGCCTGAGCCAGCCAGGCACTGACTTCATGTTATCTTGAAGGAATGGGGAAAGGGAGCCAGTGTGGGGAGAGAAGGACCCTTATGCCCGAGATGAAGAACCTAAAGTCCGGAGGCCTCCTGGGGTACCCATCTGGCCTGCTGGATGCCCACAGGCACTTCTCCTGGCCTCATCCTTTCCCCTAAATGTCAGTTACTTGGAGGACTCCCAACTTCCGCATCCTTCTGTAAGGCTGAACTGAGTCTCCAATGGGTTGGTTACTGGCTAGGAGGAGCTTTAGGCTAAAATATGTCACTGTCCTTGGTGTCATACACTTTGACTTTTGCTCTGCCAAAATCACGGGATCTACTTGCCTCTGCCAAAATCACGGGATCTACTTGCCTTTGCCCATAGCCAGGGCGACACACTGCGGAAGGCAAAATCAGGGATCCGATATGAAGCATTCCTCCTCCTCCCACTGCCCTGACCGTACCTCAAAGCTTAATCGGACTTACGATAAGGTCTTGTCTGGTTTTGAAGGTGCTGATGTAGTGATTATAATGGGAATCATCCATCTGTCTCAGGATGGCCATCATGCAGGCAACAAAGCTACCCTGAAGACAAAAAGGGAACCGTAGAGACCAAGCCTTGGTCAGTTGCAGATTTCCACAAACAACTAAATGATCACACACACCAATGGTGGAATCCTGCACAGGGGAGGAAATATTCTGCATGGGAGCTTTCTGTAGGCATTCCATGACTGGTTGTAACTTTGCTTCTGCGAAACACAGAAGCAGAGTGAGTCAGAAGGGGCCTCCGGGGCCATCTAGTCTGACTCCAGGCCCCACTCATGACCCTGCCCCGCAGGCTCACACTGTGCTCCGTTCCCTCAGCTCCATTCTAACAATATAGACTCCAGCCATTTACGCACCAGACCGAGCCATACCACAACGGTGGCTGCGGAATTGGGGTGGGAAAGGAGAGGACCGGGAATGAAATCAATTCAGGTTGACTGGTTATCAGGACCCAAGGACTCTCGTCGACATGCGTGCTGCGTGACGAGCCCAGTCCCAGTGGCACGATCAGACCAAGGCTCGGCACGTGCCCAAGCCACCCTTCCTCTCCCTCGGCGTCTTCTGATTTCTCTCCCACTCTCCGTAGGCAGCCAAGACACCTGGACTAGTTGAACTATGGTTGTCCCAAGCATAGGCGGCTTGCAATCCAGCACCAGTAACCCATTTTAAACCAGTCTCCAGTTCTAGTTCGAGGCATCTTGGGGCTTGCATTTGCCACATGTTGACCAACTTACACACCACTGCAAAATGTCAGGGCAGGAAGCGAAGTGGGAGGGGGAGCCCAGCTCAGAGGCATGCTGCATCCCAGGACCATTTGGGGTTTTTGGTGCTGCAATACAGAGGGCTTCCTGGAGAAGGTCACACCGTGGCAGCTCCATATGGGTGCTGCAAACACTCCCTACAGTGGTGTGTGGGAAACCAGCAGCCCTGCAGAGGTTAAAACACATATCTGGTACCCAGAGGAGGGCTTTCTCTGCGGTGGCGCCCCATCTATGGAATGCATTCCCCAGAGAGGTCCACCTGGCGCCATCGTTATTTGTTTTTCAGCGCCAGGCTAAGACCTTTTTATTTAAAACTTATTTTAATTGTTAATTTATTGGTATTTATAGGATTTTAAATCTTTTAAGCCGAGATGCACCGGGTTTTAATATTTTTGTTGTATAATTGTTATATTTGTATATTTTGTTTTTGTTGTGAGCCACCTCAAGGCTTTGTTGCGATGGGGGCGGCATAAAAATGTTTTAAATAAATAAATAAATATCCCCACAACCGTCAACCCTGCTGCATGGGCTGAGGGGTCCAGGCCCACTCACAGGGGACCCTGCCCTGGCTGAGGGAAATCGCAAGGCCCAGGAAGTCATGGCAGGCCAGGCAGCACATCGTGTGCAGTCAGGTTGCTGGGAAAGAGCAGTGGGAAGGCCCACCAGAAACCTCCTCGCACGGCCTCCAAAGCAGGCTAGGGCCAGAGCACGAGTGTCAAAGCAGGGGATGCACACAACAAACCAACAGAAGTCACACAAGAAGTCACAGCGAGTTGGGGGAACGGCTCTCACAATGTGAAGAGACTGTCTGCTCATGCCAATCACAGTCCGGTTTATTCTCCTCAGCAGGCGCTCCATAATCAGCTGGATGTGGGCTGTGGTGGGACCCTGAGAACATCAAACAAACAGCTGTTGCTTAGGTGCCATCTTGGCCGCTCCCTTCCAGAGGGATTTCCAAGGTGCAGGAGAACACAGAAGAGCTGGGCAGGCGCAGGAGAGGGGCAGGAGAAGGGGCTTCCCCAAATGGATGCACCCCCCGCATCAGATGCCCCAAGAGGTGGACACCAGGAGATGAGCTAGAGGAGGGTAGCCTCAGACACTGACTCCTGTCCCAGCTGCACTCTTAGCACCCGGAACCATCCAACAACTGTCCGGCAGGAAGGATCCTGGTGACTTCTTTATTGTCTTAAATGGTCCTTGGCGGGACCCTGTGGACAGCTGGTGTGAACAGGATGTTGGGGTAGATGGTCCTTTGGTCTGATCCAGCAGGTTCCTCTTGGTTTACAAGACCAAACATGGTGACATACCTTTTTTGCAAAAAGGGTGAAAAGAAATTACACCACATCGACACTCACCACCTCCTTCCGATCCAAAACCTCCAGGATGTTGCTAAGGAGTTGTGAGCAGGCATCATGGTCAGGCTTGTTGGAATTATCATCCAGCTGTCCACTTAGCTGATCGACCAGCAGAGGCAGGAGAATGTCTCGGCATTCTGAGAATCAGGAAATATAACAGACGCCCAAGATTTCAGGTCACTTGTGCTTGACCTTGCTAATGCACTGATCTAGCAAAGCAGAGCAGAGCAAAGAGCAAAAAGCAAAAAGCAAAGCAAAAAGCAAAGCAAAGCAAAGCAAAGCAAAGCAAAGCAAAGCATTATGGCCTATGCCCTTACTTCAAGGAAATGTCTCCTTTCATATGAGCCTGCCCAGACCTCAAGGTCATCTGTGGAGGTCCAGAGGAGGCCTTTTCTGCTACAGTGCCCTGATTATGGTACTTGCTCCTCAAACAGGTACACCTGGCGCCAGCGCTATATTCTTTCTGGTGCCCCACCAAAACCATTTTCTTTGCCCAGTTTTTAAATTGTTAAATGGTATTTTATTATCTTAGCATCACGTACTGGCACTATGGAGTTTTTAATTGTTCTATTGTTGAATGAATTGCTTTTTAGTTTTTTTGGAAACCATCATGGGATTTTTAAATTTAAAAGATTTAAAAGAAAAGATTTAAAAGGCAAAGCAAGCTTAGAAATGGAAAAGGAAACTTATGGTCAACAATATCCCCTCATTTTCCTTTAGAAGAAACATTTCGAAAAATTGAATCCATAATCCAAAACACCTATTTTCATGCTTTATAGAACATAAATATCTTCGGTCCTTCTCAGGTTGAGACTGTTCCAGTGTAGATTGGAACCAGTGCACACAATCTACAGGAGAGCTGAATTCAGCTCCCTCTTGGGATAAGACCACTGTACCACTGAGCAAGCTGTCTGAGGATATGGTGGGCAGTTCTTTGTAGGCATTTCAGTAGAGAAAGCACTGTTGGCCCACCTTCAGAGATGCTGTACCTGTACACACACTGGAGTGCAATGATGGGCGGGGGGAGTGGGGAGGTTAGACTAGGTCACTGGACTGAAAGTAGCCATCTAGATGGATTGGAGTTTCACTCCCAGGAGTTCAAGCTGAAACATCTGGAGATTCAGCTTCTGCTCATCCCCGGAATACATGCCCGTCAAGATACATTCCACATGATCAGGATCTCCTTAGGTAAGACGTTTCATCTCAGCACCTTGCTCTGTTTTGCATAAGATCTGCAGTGGGGCAGCAATGATCTGCTCACTGTCTAATTTTGACTGTTGCATTATGGGTGCATGTTCATAGTCAAAATTCAGAACTTCTTGCTCTGATGATCCAGTGCTATGCAAAGAGCCATTCCCAGTATGGATCAGTTCCGATCCATACAAAGAACTGCTCAGGCTACAATTTAAAGTTTATACCCAGAAGATTCAGAAGCCGTTTGCTCAAATACCTATGTCCGCAACTCAGTAGCATGCCCTGCAAACAGAAGCTTCCCTCGAAAATGTCTCAGAGGTCACACTCGCATGAGTTGCTATTTGTGCATAATCACGGGCAATTTGTCACCTGTGACTCAGAATTCAGTGACAACCTCCAGTAATAAAATAATGAACCAATCCAGTAGCTGTACAGCTTCTGTACAAATATAAAGAAGACAAGGAAATGGCACAAACACAACATTAAATTTGAAGGGCTGAAGATTCAGAACTGGAAGTAAGCATGCTAATTGGCTGTGGCTTGTGGCCATCCTATGGATGGCAACCAGTGGATCAGATGCTTGAGAGACCACCAGAACTTCAACCCACTTCCTTCAAGGAGCTTTGCAACAAACTAGCCAGAACACTAAAAGCTAAAACTGAGAGAGAGAGAGAGAGAGAGAGAGAGAGAGAGAGAGAGAGAGAGAGAGAGAGAGAGAGACTGAACGAACACACAATTCACCTGCTTGACGAAACAGGTCACTGTCCACAATCTTCGTCATACAGTTGAGCTTCTGACGGACAAGCTGATTATCGGGGATGCTTTGGATAAATTTGCTAAAAAGGACGCTGATGAGTAGAGGAGGTGGAGAAATTGATTTTTCATTAATCCATTTATTCATTCATTTTACTTCTATACTGTCCAACAGCCAAAGCTGTCTGGGCAGTGAACAACAGTTAATTAATACTATAAAATACACTATTAAAATCATAAAATTCACTAAAAAGTTAAAAGCACGTTTTCACTATGAAAGAGCATTTCTGGTTTTCAGCACAGCTTCAGCTACAGTGGGGCAGCTGAATCGGACGTCAACAGTGGTGATGAGGCAGAGACCTTCGTATCACCTGACGGCAGACGACTAATTTAGGGGTGCATGGAATACACAGCACTGTCCTCCAGTCAGAGAATTGTCACTGCTGCCCCTTTAATCTGCCATCTGGGGCCAGAGCTTCACTCTGCCTATCATAGGAATGGCCATGCCCTTATTTCTTTGCAGTCCCACTTCGGATTCGTGTCTCTTGGTACGCATCACCCAAGTTCACCACTGAAGGTGCTAGTGTCAAGGAAAGGGTTAACCGGACCCTTTGTGTTTTGATGGGCAACATGAAAATGGGTGTCAAGAAATGTCAATCTCCTTGCTCCCCAAAGCAACCATGGATATATTCCCCGTGTTCCAAAACAAGGCAAATAACTTTTGTCACCCAAAATAAGCAAAAGTAGTAAGTCGCATTTGTAATTAAACTGCTAACTGATCAGATAAACAAGCCAAGCCAAAAATGCATAAAGAATGTTAGATTGCAGCAATTCTCCATTACTAGTTTTCAGTGGCATTAGCTTCTTACTTCTTGTTAGTTTTTTATGTGGCTTTGTACTTTACTTTGAATGGACCTCCAGGTTCAAACCAAAGAAGAGGCTTCAGCCATTCCTGGAACTAATTTTGGAAGTCCCATGACAATGGTTTAACAGATCCACTCCTATATAATTTCTGCTACAGAACATAGTTATTTCTACAGGGGTTTATTAACAAAATTAAAATGTACCCTCCACTATGTAGGCTTTGAAAACTTCTGTAGGCTTTTCATCCAATAGGAAAAAAAACCCAGTCCAATTATCCATGTTTATTCCCATGTCCTTCCACAAAAAAGTGAAAGAAAGAAATACAAAGCCCTAAAGTGACTTGCTTGGGTTAGCACAGACGCCCAGCTTTCTTAGGGTACCCCCTTGCCAGACATAAAGGTAGAAAGGTATTTTACAGCTACCTGAGCTCAACTGCATCAAAGACTAATTTGACATCATTGATGATGCTTGGTAAATACTTTAAGGCAGCCCCCTGAAAAATAAAGAAGAAATGAAGTTAAATATTCCACTTGAAAGAGCTTGATTTGCTGCTTTGTTAACAACCTTATTTGTTGCCAGCACTCAGGGTCCACCCTTCTGTAAAATATCCAAGGAAGCTTGCAACAACAAGGAAAGCACACTCGGTTAGAAAAACATCACTACAACCTATAATCAATCTCAATAAAGGACTCAACTGTAGCAGTAGCAGTAACAGAAAATAAATCGAAGGACAAGATTGTGCAAAGGCTAACCAAAATAAATGACTTCTCCATTGCCTGCCTAAAACCAATCTGCCAGGCCGACGGGTGCACCTCTCGGGAAACCTTCCTCACACACTGGGCAACGGTGCCATTCCTCCCCGCCAACCCCTGCCACTAGCAGTAGCATGTGGGGAAGGCGGCTTCTGCAAAGGGCAGCCAGGGCCCCTGCTCCCTGGGCTGGAAGCACCAAACGCAGCCTTTGCAGTGAATCGGAAACGGTCAGGCCGGCAATGCAAAGGATACAGAAGAAAAACTGCCTGCCTGCCTGCCTGCCACTAGCAACCCCTCTCTCGCATTCTGCATCAGTTGCAGCTTCCAAATTATCCCCAAGGGCAGCCCCTCGGGAAGCACACTGCAGAAATCTAGCCATGCCCGTTGCTGTGGCTAAGTCAGGTTTCTCTCAGGAAGGCCAGGGCTGTCGAACCGGCCGCAGTTGGGGCTTTTGTTATTTAGCCCCATAACTAGTGAAAGCCTTTTTGGGCAGGCTGAAAATTAGTCAAATGAACTTGCGATGGAAGCTGCAAGAGCTTCTGATAAGGGCAAAAGGCTCATACTAACCTTGATCTTAATCGCCTCTTCCAGGGGCCTGTCCATGAGGAGGTTAAAGGAGAGGAACAGCTTTCGGATGGCATCATTAAACTCTTCTCCATCTTCACTCTTCCCATAAAAGCTACAATCAAAAAGAATATCCTACATTAATTACCCATGTTTTTAAAATGCTGGGTGCAATTTTTTTATATGCAATGACCCTCAAAGCAGGAAAGCCTCAACAAAACAAAACAAAACCCCAGCTTATTTGTTAGAACCCATCAAGTCAATGGCAAGGGACCATTTGTCACAGTGCAAATACAGCTGACTTAGACTTGCGAGCTGTTCACTATGCATTCAAAGCACAGCTCAAGATTCCTTGGTTTAGCCTCATTTCAGAGGATTTCTTAGGCTGCCTCTAAGTCATGAGTTAGACACATGGCAGAACTGGCACCAGCTGGATTAATACGCAGTGCAACTCTCTGGACTTTTAAATGCTTTTTATGGATTGATTTGATTTTTATGGTGTCTTTCCACCAAGACAGTGCTGCTCGAGACAGCTAGCAATGATTGGGATTAACAGGAAATTAAGGGAAACCTTGATTAAAATAAAACTAAAGGAAATGGATTGGCAACACGATGTAAAAATATAATAGAAAAACAGAATAAGAACAGCATCCAAACCAACAGGCAGGCTTCCATGGCAAAAGGCCTGCTTAAATAAACCTGTGAGCATCAGAGAGGGATGCAACAGGTTGCCTCAGCAAGGAGCTCCACCTCCTAGGAGCGACCACCAAAAAGGCCCCGTCTGGCTTTCCCCGCAAATATACTAAAGGCAGCACCACAGACAATTATGTCAAGCTTTAAAGGAACAGGGTGGGATCACTGAGCCAGCTACCCGTCCTGCATCACTGCTTTGCCGTTAAGAGCAAGCATGTCCACAGTTCTGAAGGAGCCTGGGAAAGGGGCTTCCCATGGCCCCCGGACTGAACAATTAAGTGGCGGGGCACTGGAGAGTCTTCTTCTCTAGCTCTGATGTTGGGAATGGGTGTTCCACTGAAGCACCCAGGCCTTGGAGATGAGGCTTCTGCTGAATCCACCTTGGCCATCACCAAGGGGTGATGAGAAGGGGTCTTGAGAAGGGGTATTTTGGAATCTGGACCTTCTGCAGAGAGCATCAGCAGCAGGGAAAAGTATTACAAATTTTGCTCGACTTAGAAAAACTTTGGGATTTCCAAACATTTACCCCTTCATACAAAGAATTCCTTATCAAAGCACCCAACCACCTCCCTCCCTCCTTTAATACCTTTGAGAAATTTCAGGAAATCTACTATGGGTACTTGGTAAAATTCCTTAAGGTTTATCTAATTCTTCTATATCCCTGTCCTTTGACCTTTTTTCCCTTCTTTTTCCTTGTTTTGTTAACCATGGAGAAAATACTCCTATGGTCCCTAGACATCATTCAGGGCCAGAGGATAATTCCCAGACCTGAAGCCAGAAAGAGAGCCCTGACCTCGGAGCTGGGAATCGGCTTCCCCCTCTTGCAGCAGGCTTGGAAAGCACCATGTTGGCTTTATCTCTAAGGTCAGGAGCTTGACCTCCGAAAGGGGTCAAAGGGGGCGTTCCAAGGAACAGTGAAGGAAGGGGATGGTGCGCAGCCTCCCCCCCCCCCCCCCCGCAAAAAGCCTCAACCAGACGGCCAGAAACGTCTCTGCAAAGCAGCAGCGAACCGTGCCTCCACTGCACGGGACGCGAGTAAGCTTGGTGTTCAGGGGCTTACAAGCCTCAAGGGAGCAACTCATGGAATTGTGTCCTTTTTTGATTTACTTATTTTGTACATGCCATGTCTGGGAGAAGCATGAGCTATGCAGAGAGATGGGAGCATTTTCTGCATCGCTTGGTTTGGAACTTGGAGAAAAGTCAAGCTGTAACAGGCAGGGAGAGAAGTCTTTTTAGTGCTGGCCCCATTTATGGAACAGCTTTCCCAGAGAGCTTTGCCTGATGCAATTCCTGGGGTCTTTTCAGCACTAAGAGAAAAAGGTGTTTTAAAGCAGCAGCTGCAACAACTTATCACATAGTCGGGGTTTCAGTTTTGAAATCCATGTGTTTGATTTTGAGATTGCTCTGATTTTTGTTTTGCTGTCCTGTTTTATGTTTCTTTTGATTGTTTGGCTTTATGGTGGCACACAGAAGCTGAAAATAAGCCAGTCCCCTTAAATTCAGTCCTTAAGCTCAACCCCTGAAAAATGTGTTTTGAGTCCAGCTTTGGAGAAGTGCAAGAGGAAGTATCAGGAACATAAACAAGAGAGATTTCTATTTGGTGCTGGTCTGAAACAAAGAGCTAGTTACTTTCCACTCACTTGACCCTGGAAAGAGGTGGGCTTTCCCGCAATCAGTCAATGATTCCTTGGAAATAAATGATCTATTCATATTGTGGGGAATTCCTCTAAGCCCACTGTGTCATATCTAGTTCATTTCTGCGCGTTTCCTTGAACATTTGCCCGTAGAGCAAGGATGTATCCAAATTACTGTACTTCAGTTGAAGCAAAAGAGAACATTCTGTGCTGTTCAAAAGCAGCTATCTGTCTGCATGCTCAGAAACAGTCTCAAAACTGAAAGAGAAGCTAGACCAGTGGGACACACAGCAAAATATTGCAGTGCAGAACAACACTATTAAAGATGTCAAACTCTCCATTTAACTCCAGTGCTCCTTTTCCATTTTCCAAGGCCTCGCAATAGTCAGTCAGCGTTCTGGAGCTGCTAAGTGGGTTTCAGTCCTCACTGCCTACTCTTAGGACTTCCCTCTGTCTCACCATGAATATTTTGGTATTTTGTAAATATTTTTTAAAGGTTCAAATCCTTTTCAGCATGGTGGGAGTGGTGAGGACAGTTGTGCATTCATAGCGTACTCCCTTTCCTCTGTCAAACTGCAACATCCTCCCCAAGGAGCCCAGAGCAGCTTATAAAGGTCCATTTTTCCTTGCCAGAACAGCCCCATGAGGCAGAAAGGAAGTGACTGGCCCAGTCACCCTGTGAGTTCCGTGGTGAACTGGGGGCTAGAACCTGGATCTCCCAGTTCCCCAGTCCGATATTCCCACCACCAGAACACTCTGGTTCTCCTCCTCACCCAGTCACGAACTCACGGGGTGACTTTGGGCCAGGCAATGTCTGTCAGTCTGACCTACCTCGCAGGGTTGCTGTGAAGATAAAATAGAGAGGGGGGAAATCATGTAAAAATCTTGAGTTCTTTGCAGGAAGAAACTTAGCAAATACATAAAATGTGTGGAAAGTAAACTAAAACAGACAACAAAAGGCTCTCTGAGCCCAGTACCAATGTCCATGCTGGTGGGGAACACAGGATCTGCAGAATCCTAGCAAATAAGATTTGCCTTGTGCCTTTCCAGGCCATGCCTGTTTTTTCTGCCTCCAGCTTACCCCAGGTACAACACCCTTGACTGAACTATGAACCGGAAGAGGTACTTCAAGGCTTTCAGCGCAGCAAAGAGCAATTCCGTCTTGCTGGAGTCATCCGCATTTCCAACATAGTGGTTCAAAACTTTGGTAAGCTTTCTGTGGAAGGAAAGAAAACGAGATGGACAAATGCAAATATAAATGCTGGGCTGAGTTAGTGGAGCACCTACACCAACAACCCGTTGTCTCTTTTATTGGTTAGTTTTTAATTTACTCAATAAACCATGCTCAGAGGAGTACTACAAACAGCAGCATACAAGCGCCTGCAAGAAATCCAAGTACTGCTCGTCCAGCATCTTGACGTTGTTAAAATAGATTGCATATCACAAATAGTACCGTGGGCATTTATTTATTATTAGATTTATATCCTACTTTTCCCTTACCAGATCAAAGCAGCTTACATCATTCTCTTCCTTCTGCTCTCAATCTTACCATCACAACAACAACCCTGTGAGGTAGGTTGGGCTGAGAGTCTGCAACTGGCCCAAAGTCACCCAGTGACTGAGTGGGGACTGGAACCCAGATCTCCTGAGTCCCAGCCCCACGCTCTTAACCACTGCACCACACTGGCTCTCGAAGAGTGTCGCCAGTACGCACCAGTAAGGCATTTACACACCAGTAAGGCATTCCCCATTGCTCCAAGTTGCTGTATTATTGCAGGACAGAATGTCGTGGGCAAATACAGCTGAACCACATGTGTCAAGAAAGCATTAAAGAAAAGCAGCACAGGGGCTCCCAATTGCTCCTAGCCACAGTGGCTAACGGGACTTTCTCCTCTATGACTCCTGAACTGTGGGACATACTCCCTTAAGATCAACAACTGGATGAAGATGATGGTTACATATGCAAACT